CAGTGGTCTCTCGTTGAAAAAATTGTTCTACTTGTAAAACCATTCAAAGAAATTACTGTGGAAAGCCAGCAAACGAGAAGCCACTTCATCTTCAATAATTCCCACAATAGAGACTCTGAAATTATTCTTATCAAAAGCAAAGATCAGTAGTTCCTTTAGTGGCATTAATACCACAACAGAAGAACTAGAAAACCCAATAAAAAAAGATTTTCAGCATATATAGAAAACAAGTCTTTATGCTTGTGATTTTTATTAGATTCAAAATGAAATTTCAAAAAGAGGATATGCTAGAGGAAATCTCAATAAGAATTAAATTCTGAAGCTGATCAAGATGGAGGTGATCAAGATGGAGGTGAATTTCTAAGTTTTTCTGATTTATTTGATGAATTAGCTTCTGGTAAACGAAAGAATGAAGAATAGCATGTTTTTAAAAAGAAAGAAAAAAAAAACGAAAGAGATGTACAAACGTTTCGATCAACAATTAGAAACATATTTACATTTATCCCTAATTTGAGCAAAATAGCTATGAGATATTTAAATGCCTCAGCATCTTCCATTGAAAGTGAAAAAATTTTCCGCACTGGAGATAACATTTATGAGCCGGCAAAAAATAGGTTATGCCCTAAAAATAGTGAAATTCTCATGTTTTTGCATTGTAAAACCCTTAAATTGTATTTTATTTGTTTTATATGTTTAAACTTTAAACTTATGAAACAATTAAAAATTTAATTTTTTTTCTTAACCTATTCAATACTTTTTCTTATGTAAAGTTTAAACTTTATATTATACATCGTATTATACTTATAATATGTATCGATAAAAGGGATAATTTGATTAGTAACATTTTTTTAATATTCAGTTTGTCATGTAATAAATAATAAATATATAACAGAAATTTATTAGTTTTTATTACTAGCATTGTACGTAACATTGTAACAAAAATACCAAAATGTAAAATTGGCCGATTATCGAAACCGATTAATTGGGGGGAATGGCCGATACGGCCAATTACCGATTACTTACCGATTAATCGGTGCACCCTTAGAATTTGTGTAAATCTGGAAAATAGTGATTCTGAAAATGAAGAACCCAAAAAATTTCTTTACAGATTTCCTTCATAAAAGTTTGATAATGATAATCAAAATTGTTGATCAAATTGTAGCGAATGATCCAAATCACCTTGCATCTTATATGAGAAGTTTCATCACCCATAGGCTAATGAATTCCTCAAACAGCCTTTACTAGACTACATGTAACCTACCTAACCCAACTCTTGAATAAAAATGTTACTGTTAATTAACCATATTATTATTACAGCACATTTGCTAATTTGGCCTTCAACAATCAAGCCTCTCAATTATCTGGCATACCTCTCAGTGTGATTGCCTATGTGCTCCCATTTTCATAAAAATGTTAGTCAAGTCACATACCCTGTTTTACTATTTACTTGGGTTTTATTTCTTTGTACAGTATTGCACTTCAGCATGCCACATTATTTGCTCACCTGCCTCAAAAAAAAAAAAAAAGTTCTAAAGGGAAACAAGTCACTTCATTCATTACCTTTAGGAAGGCTTTAGGTCTGTGTACACACAGTAATCTGGAATTCTTGCTAGTCCAACACCCCTATGTGCAAGGAGTGGCTGGATTAGTGAAAGTTTACTTATTATTATTAGCTTTTTGTTATAGTTATGCTGCTTTTGCATGTATTCATGTAAAATATTTTAATAGTAAATGATTTCTTTTAAATTCTTGTTTTTCCCTGATAAATAAAAGTATACATTCTAATTTTAACCCCCTTTTTTTAACTAGAATACAGTAAAAGAAAAAAAATTGGCTCCAAGTGCAAAATGACAGATGGCTTAAATATATTAAATATTTTTTGCTGAAATGGAAGCACATATTATATATAAGTCCTAAACTACAGTATTTCTCATTTTTATCTAACAAATGTTCCAATAGCAACAAAGAAAAAAAATCTTTAAATATATTATAAACTAAATTTTTTTATAAACATCAAATCTATTTACATTAAGTTCATATTTAGTTAAATTAAAATTTACATTATTTTTTATTTATTTTTAATTAATAATAAACCCTATTTTATGATATGCTTTTACAACTATATAAAAAATTTTTTTCTTGGTTGGCTATTTGGGTGAAGAATTATGTAGTTCACTTATGTAGTAATTCTCTTCTCCCTCTCCTGTACTTTCAGGAATGTAATCATAATTTATATCACTAAATTTAATATGAATTAATAAATGAGTCATGATGAGTATGAATTTTTGTATCTTCAACATATTTTTATATTTTTAATACCATCAGCCAATTTTAATGAGTCATAATATGACTTATTGTAAGTTTTCCAGAATTAGATTGTAAAAACAGAAGTAATTTTTTTTTTTTTTACTATTTGACAAAAGCAGGAAATTCTATGACAATTATTGATGCATCAATTACAGATATATATACATTAACTACATTAACTATAGATATACTAGTAACCTGTTTTTTTTCATTTATTAACCCTAAGCTCTGAAAATGTCTTCTTTCTATGTACCTGGAGACAATCATTTTTACCCCTAATGCTATTGAGGGGAATTTGTATAGCAAAACTAGTCAAATAACCTTCCCTTGGGCAATTTTGTCTCAAATGGATTAAGCCAATTTTAATTCACATTTAAAGAGTTAACTAAAGACAGATCTACTTAAATTATCATAGTTTATTTTATATCTTTTAGTTCATAAAAGAAAACAAAATCTAGCTTAAGAAAACAGTATTATGTATATGGTAATGTAGTACAGAAGAATAAAAGGGAAAGAATAAAAAAAATATTTGTATTTCACCCTCTTTCTTTGCAGGTTAATATATAATAGAGTATGAATTATTTTGAATATATAAGTAAATATTTACAATTGTAATAGAAAATTTAATACAAAGAGTTACTCTCATATACAGACTTTGAAGTACTTTAAAAATTATTTTTTGATTTAATAAAACTTAACATGAGCATTTAAAAATTGAGTCAAAAATAATTTATAAAAGATAAACTTATGTTAAAATGTAAAAAATTGAAAATATTAATTTTTTTCTTACCCTTCACCTGTCAAAGCACAGCATGGTTGTATCCTCCAACGATGTTTTTTTATGGAAGTTAAATTAAGCTGTTTTGTTATTTCTGCTGGAGTCATGCACCCCTTAACATCTTGTTTATTAGCATAAATAAGTACTGCTGCTTTTCTGAGATCCTAGAAAAAAATAATTCATCTCAAAACAATCTTTTCTACAAGTATATAACAAAATTCAAATTAATTCCATATTATTATTATTATTATAAAGTGATTATTGTAATCAAGATTAGCCTTAGGTGCTGGCAGACTAGGTAATTGTATAGGGCCAAATTTCATAGGCCAGTGAATTATATGTAAAGATCATACTTGAAATTTAAATTTTTTTTTTGTGTAAAGTGAACAATAAATATCAATCATTTGAATCTGAAATGCTTTAAGAGATGTAAGCAACTAATATCAACATTCAAGAATTACAGAGTAAGAATAATCTAGCATTTGCATTAAAAGTAAACACAGACAATGAATGCAATGATCCTGGAAAAGTAGTACATTATCAGAATCACTGCATTCATTTATTTAATTAAACAATGGTAATAACATTTCCAAATTTAGATATTATCACTATTGAAGTATCTGAGGCTTTTGACCCATTCTTCCTAAATATTTATAAACAATTAAAATTTTCAATTATGAAATAATGAGCATATCAAATAGACTGAGAAAACTCAAATCACAGTTTTAATAGTTTTTTGACCAATAGAAGGCATGCATGTAAAACTCAAAGCTAAATTTTGATAACCTTACAACTATCAAGAAGACTTTAAATGCATCATCAATGAGAAAACTGACACAGTGATTTGATAGAAATGAGCAGCATTTGATAGAAATGAGGCTAGCCCCATCTGTAAATTAAATTCTGTACGTTCATAAAGTTGGGATAAGTAACAGCATTCAAACAAACAACTATAATGTTTCCAACAACATGATACAAAGTGATACATTTGTAAGATTAATTACAGTGGTACATCTTTTTAGTATTACTATTTAGTTACAGACATTTATATATCAGTTACTATTTAGTAATAGTTTCAGCTTAATTTAATTTTTAATTATTACAGTAGAGCATCAATTACCCGACCCCCGATTAACCGTCACATCGGTTAACTGACCGTTCTAGTTGGCAAATTTCAAATGTCCGCTAGTGATGTGGCGCTACAATATTTGGCTGTCTTGGCTACTTTAATATTATTTTTGTTAAATTTTTGCGTGTTTTAGTTGGCATCAGCAGCTCGACCATTGAAGGGAGGCCAGTATTTAAACGAGACTCAATTTTCTAATTATGAGTGGTGGTTTGTTTCGTGAGCAATAAAATAATTTTTAACGATACAATAGTGATGATTATTATTTTTAAAAAAATTTGTTAGGCTAAACATCAATGAAAATTCAACGTGAAGTTGGTTAATAGCGATATACTAATAAACTAATTACATGGGATATACTAATATCCTAATATACTATACTAATAGTATATTTTTTACCTTCTTTTCGGTTATCCGATTTTTTCAGTTATCCGACCAACCTGAGTCCCCAATTGAGTTGGATAATCGATGCTCTACTGTATTCACTTAATTGAGTACTCATCTCAGCACTGGATGTTATGAAATTTATAACATACTTTTAATATTTGTTTCATTTATGGTAAATTTTTCATGTGGAATCACATTTACATTTTTGACTTTACGTTTTGCTCAAATTTCATCTCAGAAATTTTAAGTCAAAACAAATTATTTTGAAGATTTTGAGGTTATTTCACTTTTTTATCACAAAACATTAAAAGATAAAACATTCACAAAATCCTGAATACTTTCAAATCATTTGATTTACCTTTATGGAAATCAAAGTAGTTAAATAAATAAAACTCATGCCAAAATTGTATAGCTTCTTGATAACAAGCACTGAGTTCAGCGTTAACACGATTTTCTTATATCGCAAATACTTTCGACAAGTATTATATCATCGTCCTCAGGCGAAAAATAATAAATTTGAAAAATAGAACGTGCAGAGTGTTCCAAGTAGAAAACGGTAAATTTTTTCTTGTCAATTTACCCTTTACCCATCCATTCCAGTATTTGAAGCCGTAATGCTAGCCAACGCCATGCTCCTCAAAAAAGGTTTTACGGTTCAACAAGTGCTAGACATTCGTGAAGCGCTGATCTTCATCACCGAAAACAACTATTTCTGCTTCAACCAGAAAGTCTACTTACAGAAGCAAGGGGTCCCATGGGCTCTCCTCTATCTGCAGTATTAGCTGAGCTCGGTATGAGAGACGTGGAACAAAAAACACGCCCCACTTACTATATGCTATACATCACTATACTTACGCCATGTAGACGACATCCTACTAATATGGGAAAATTCATAAAATTTTAAAATGCTGGTAATTAAATTAACATGTTATTTTTTTCAACTTCAAGGGTCATCCTTAACTTTATGCTACATGGGAGTGTCTCAATATATCTCATCTAAAGACAAATACAAAATTCTTTGTGTTCTTGTCAAATTTAAATTTGGTTTTCTTTTTAAGAACATTAATTGTATTTAACTAAACAAATAAAGTGTATTTTCCAGAAAATGTTTGTTTATTTAGTTGTATACATGTTTATTACAATCCCAGAACTATGGTGAATACATAAGCAATAATACACAGAAAACTTCTCTGTAAAATTAAACTTCTCATATATATTTAATTTTAATTAATTAAATAAATGTATCTACATAAGTAAAAACAGATTAACTAATTTGTCAATATTTTAACACATACATTCAGAAAACCTACTTTATTATATAACGGACTTTGGGCTTTAACATACACTCCTTATGCAAATTAGTTCATTAAAATCATGGTTTTACTGTATTATTACTATTGTTGTAAGTGCAGTAACTGCCATTTTTTCAAATAAATATAACAAAATAATTGACTCTTCTTTTGACAGCCTGGATTACAAGTTTTGCTTAAAATCTCCTTAATCCAGCTGAGATTGTAATATAAAATATCTTATTATTATTATTATTTTTTTTTTTTTTAAAGAATGTTCAATTTAAAACTTTCTAAATAATAAATATTTTCACTTGGATTATTAATAATTTTTATTTAAACTTAAAAAATTAAATGTGTATATAAAATTTTAAATATTCTCATAAAAGTAAATAAAATGTTATTTTTTCATTCATAATTTCATAGAAAACACATTTATATATATTACAATCATATCTTTTAAACAATAAAAAACCAGTGCAATTTTTCTTTAATTGATAATTATTAACCTTGAAGTTAAGTTGAAATAAATTTACTGCTAGTTATAAAAAGATATAAAAGAAATAAAACAGTGATAAATTATGCCTTATAAATGCTAAAAAGATTTTGCAATTTTTAATTCTAAAGCTTAAAAGCTCACAAACTAACATTTGACTTGCATCTTTTAAATTAAATTTTCTATTTAATCAATACAAGAATTGAATAAAACTAATTTTAAAGATGAATAAATAATATATTTAATTTACTTGCCTTTTCAACTACAAATATATTTAAAAAACAAGTTATTGATGACTGTTCACACCAGGGCTGCAGAGTTGGTAAAAAAACACTCAACTCAGACTCCTGATAATCTTAGTAGGCCAACTCAGACTCCGGCAAAATTAAATACCAAGTCATTTTATGGGGAGCAGAGGCACTCATAGGGGGTTACCCTACTCTGAACTCTGAAAGGAGCCCAGGGAATTTACCCAAATACTTTTATAGTTAGTATTTTTAATATTTAACTTACATCAATATTTATTTGTACAAAAAAATTAATTTTTAACAAATATTTAATAAGAGGAAAAAAAGGGAACAATAGAATTCTACATCTACATATCTTTATTCTAACTTTTGCACTTCAATTTCACCTTTCCAGAAAAGTTAGTTCAATTAAAAAGTGTGCAATCTAGCTACTTCAGCCCCTTGTTCAGAAAAGATAAATATATACTCTGATCAATTAGTCTGGCTCATTCAGAAAAATAGAATACTTATTTAGGACGGGGATAAGAAAGGAATGAATCAATATTATTCAAATTCAAGTGGGTCAAAATAATTTAACTACTAAACACAAATACTACAAAGAAAACTATCGATACATATTTAATAAATTAAATTGTTGCATTTTGTATTTAAAATAAATGAATTATAACAAAATAAAAATACATTTTTAAAAAATTAATAAATATAAAATAAATTTTCTTTCATTTAAAAAAAAAAAAAACTAAATTAAATTTAAAATGCCAGAGTCAGTCAACACATTTTTCCCAACTCTGGCTCCTCTGGCCAGAAATATGTCCAGACTCTGACTCCACAGCCCTGGTTCACACAATGTAATGAAAATTTTTAAAACCTATTCAGTATGAATGAGTAAAATATTCTTTATAAAGTATTAATTATCATTTATATTCATCATTTACACCAACATTATCATAAACACATATACTAACTGGTTTTCATCTTGTACAACTAAGTTGACTCACTGTACACCAAATTCTCAGTGTTCAGATCATAATATATTATGAAGAATGTTCACTCATTGCAGCACAAGCATCACAGACACCATAAGTGAGCTTGAGTACATCAAGAAAATTGCCAAGCAGGATGGCTTTCTTGTCACAGTTATATAACACTTATTTTCTATTTATGAAACAACAAGAACTGTACATTCACAACCTAAGTATAGGGGGAAGAGTCACTTGGGAATAGCTTAATGTGACTCTTCCCCTATACTGGGGATAGTTTAATGGGACTTGGGAATAGTTTAATGTGACTCTTTCCCTATAGGGAATAGTTTAATGTGACTCTTCCCCGATAAACTAAAAGGATAACTGAAAAATACAGGTTATAAATTGAAATTGTATTATATATGTTACATGCCAGATGATTTCTCCTTATGTACCACAGGTTTGTCATTCTTGGTCTAAGGAAGAAAGTTATGGAGCATAAAAATATGGTTGACAAAATTCTGGGCAATATAATCTTAGTAGATTATGCTAACCAACAAGATATACAAGTTAAGTGGGAGAATGCAAAGATAATTAGATCTTCCAGCAGCCATAACACCTCAGATACTTGGAGACATTAGAAATCTATAAAGCCAAAAGAAAACAACATTGTATGAACTACTGAGAAGCAGATATATCGTCTGCTTGGTATTCTATTTATGAGATCTAACTTGCTCTTATTGTTTCACACTCTGTCACTAAAATAGTGTTATTTTAATTTATGTAAATGCTTTTATATTTGTTTTCTTACCTTCACATCTCTATTTTGTTGAATAAAAAATAAAAAGTAACACAGATTTCCTTTGAGTTTAAAAATTTATATATATTCTATTTATTTTGGAATGCTCTATGCATTTGTTTTCATTAAATTTATTTGTTTTCTAACTGAGGAAGACTTATTAACAGAGGTCAAAACATTTTTACTCTTAACATATTGCTGGAGCTACAAGGTGTTTTTATACTTTTTGTGTGTGTTAACAATTCATTAGATTTAATGTATAAACTCTTCTTTCAAAAGAAATGTAAAACCAAATAATAATCTCATATTTTTACATAATTTTTTTAATTATTTATGAAATAAAAAAGGTGTGTTAAATTTATATCAGACTTTATTTTTACATAAATAATGAAGAGAATATCAAGTATATATTTAATATATTTTCTTCTAATTTTAATTTATTCTGATAATAAATTACTTTCAACTACAAATTAAGAGGGAATATAATAAGATTTATGTATGCTTTATTAGTTACATGACATTTACACCCAGATGAATATTAATAATACCTCAAAATAGATTTAATTAAATGAGCATTTTTACACTGCTATGAAGAAACCACATCAAAATATGATTTAGATCATTTTGCCATATTAGTTATAGTGTTATGTTGACAAAATAAATTATATCCAATAAACAATTTATTTAATATTTGCATAAATTCTTAAGTGATCTGTTGAAGAATGAAATTACTTAAATGTTTTAGAAAATTTAAGTAATTTCATTCTTCTACTTATTAACTTTACCATCAATGAAATATCTAATGAGGGTATGGCATGACATTGATTGAACTCTGAAGATATAGTGCATCCTTGATGACTGAATGTGCCAAGCAATAAGGTACAACACTAAAAATTAAAACAGAAAATTAAAGTTGAAAATTGCACAATCATGTAAATAATAAATATTCTATTTATTATTTACAGAGTGGCCAATGGTTCAGTGAGGTCACACCATTTTCATAATCAAGAGATTAATAGCAATGAGATTCAAAATATCAATGTAATTTTTTTTGTAAAACTATAATTTTCACTTTATTCTTGATGTTTTTTAATTTATTATATTGTCCAAGAGAAAACTGATTTATTTTTAAAAAACTACAAATGAACAAATAAACTGGGTAATAAAACAATAAAATCAACTGTTTCAAGTAACAAGTCAACATCAAATAAAATTAAAAATGCTATATAACAATATTTATTTAAAAACAAAATGCTTTCTATATACAGTAATACCTTGACTTACGCTATTTTCAAATCTCGTCAATTCGTCTTTTGTTTGAGTGCCACGCAACTCTTGATTACTCACTCCCCCCACACTATTGTTCAGCTAACATGTTCGGACATGTCGCGTGGAATCTTGAGAGACTAAACTATGTCATCCAATACGAAGTAGAACTGATTCTTCTGCATCAAACAAGAAAAGAAAAACTTAATCTTTGGAATGTAAAGTTAACATTATTAAAGAGTTCAAGTATCATTTGTAAACGTCACGGTATTATCATTGAGATGGAAACAATGTTAAAATTATGGTGTGATAATCAAATAAATGTGAAAAATTGCATAATAATATAATTTGTTACACATATGTATTATCTAAGATTTTATTAACCATTTTTTTCTAAATTATTGTTTTCTTTAGTCTCCGGCCCCAATTAAAAATTATTTGTATGTATTTATATGCAAAATTATACCTCGACTTATGCTATTATCGCTCAGTCCCACCTATTGCATAAGTTTGGGGTATTACTGTATTCACATACAATACATACATACTTTGGCAACAAAGTCATTGTTTAACCTAAATGTGCCTATAATTGTGTTTTCATTTGTTAAAGAATGGAAAGATGGCTTTGATATTGCATGCTAACATCAATAGCAAAGAAATTTGTTCTGCAGAAGAATCACTTCATGATAATATTGCAAAATATTGTTTAAAGGATGCTTTTATGTATTGTGAAAGCATCCTTTCAAAAATCAAGATCTGATTGCAGCCAAAGGTTCTACATTAATTTTGGAACTTGCAAAGGTGGTTAGGAGAAAATATTAATCTCTCCATTATTTTCAAATGTGATATAGTATGCATGATTCTCCTCCAAATTAGTTGATGACAGAAGAGTTTTTAAATGTTTGTTTTCCAGTGACATGTAAATCTTATTGTAAAAATGCTACATTTATTCAATGTGCACACTGTTTTTTTCATATGCTTCTACAATAATTATAATCCACATTGTGCTCCCAAATAGCAAAGTGAAATAACTTTTTTATTAACAAAATTGGTCTTGAATAATGATAATTTTGTTTATATGTTATTGTCTTTTCAAATAAATTATAAATACAGTAAATATTACATATGAATACCATATGTACAGTACATGAATATTTGAGAATAATTTTGAAATAAATATAATAAATTTAAAAATACCATGAATAAAGTAAAAATTAGTTTCATTAAAAAAGAAAGACTACATTAATACTGAAATTCAAAACATCAACCTCATGATTATGAAACAGGTGCACCCCTACTGAGCCACCAGCCTTTCTGTAAATACTGACAGATATGCTAAAGGATTTAAGTGATTGTGCAATTTTCAACTTTAAATTTCTTTTTAATTTTAAATGTTGCACCTTACTACTTGGCACATTCAGTCATTGGGAATGAACTATATTCTCACTGAGTTTGATCAAAATCTGTGACCACCAACATCATGCCATTATCTCATAAGTAATAATAACAAACTATGTATATCATCTTATAAAGAGATTAACTTTCTTCCATTAAATCATAATTTGCAACAACAAAAGTGACAACAGAAGTGTAATTTCTAGCAAAATAATAAACAGCTACATATTATATGATAATAAATTTATCAATAAGTAAACTAAGCTACCATTAAAGATTTCAACAATTGAAAAACCTATAAATCATTTGCAAAATTTTTAACTGTTCCTTAAAAATCTGGAATTATAAATAAGTAAAAAAAATTAATTTGTAAATAAAAAATATTAAAATATTCCATTTTCACAACTAAGTCATTTCAATTATATAGGACCTCCAGATCTCTAAATCCACCATTGATGTAGCTTAGATAATTTTCTATTAAGCAAAATTTGTGTCAATTTTAATTAAATATGTATTTTCTGCATTCATAATAAATCTGTTCATAATTATAAAATAAATATATTGTATTGCAATATATGCAACAAATACAATATTTATATTACTTACAGTTTAACTTTAGGTTAAAAAATTAACAATTAAAACAAAATATAATATAGCCATTTAAAATTTTTTTTTTAACTTTTAAATATTAATTCAAACTTAAAATATAAATGATATTTTAATTTATTTTTGATAAAGCAGGTTAAAACCATCATTGCAATAATAAGAGATTTATTTACTATTATAAATTTTTATATCATGATCATAAAATAAAGCTTTTAAAAAAATTGATAAGCTATCTTATTTAATGCAATATTTAGTGATACAAATCAACTTTTAATCAAATACTTTATCAAATAATTTTATACTTAATAGTAAACTATTTCACAATTATCACAAAATTATTAAAATTATGTATATAATATTTATACTTTATTATTATTGTTGTTATTATATAAATCACATACTTCATGATTCATCAATTTCCAAAGTTCTTCTTTAGTAATATGAAGCCTTTCTCGATCAGTGCTATCCAATACTACAATGACAAACTAAAATGAAGAAGATTACAAATTACTTTTTTATTTTAAAAAGATTAATTATATATATATTTAATAATAATAAACTTATGATAAAAACTTTGAAAAAATTACAAATTATCATAACATTCTGAAAACGTTAATATTAATAACATTAAAAAAATAATCTCCTGTAAGCTAATAAGTTTAATAGGATTAATAGATAAGATTATGATAGGATTAATAAATAGAAAAAAACTTTTCCAGAAAGTTCAAGAAAGAAAAGTAAAATCAAAATATTCTTCCAAAAATTTGTTTAGACATTTTTATATACAAATTACATTTGTTTAAATATATTTAATTTTATTAAACAAAAAAAAGCACAAAACTGAACTGAAAGAACATTTGTAATAACTTTGCAAAAGACTAATTTACTCTGGAATGCTAATCTATATAGGTTAATTTTAAACTTTACTCAAAACTAATTACTTTTGTGAAAATTTAGAAAAATAAGAATTTTGTCAAAAAAGAAAAATGAAATATTGATTAGAGAGTTATCAATAAACAAAAATTACAACCAAAGTTTTTTTATCATTATATATACTGTATATACATATATAATGATGTGTATGTGTGTGTAATTTATAAATTTAAAAAGCAAAAATTTCTTCTTATCTAAAAATAAAATAACTTGACATTTTATTTTCAGTAAAATAATTTATTTTTAGAATATAATCTATTCAAAAAACCCAACTAATGATACAATAAACCATTAAAATCAATATGTTTCATAATTTCATAACATTATTTTGAATTTTTTATAATAGTTATAAATAGCCTTTTTTTTCAATAATTTATTTTAATAATTGCCCAATAACATATTAAATTTTTATTTTTTAAAGAAAAAACAAAATGTTTATTATTTTAGTTTGGCAGTAAAACTGTAAAACAAAAATAGAGCATTTCTAATTAATATTATACATTAATAAAATTACAAATAATTCAAGATGCAACAATATAAAAAAAAATTTAATAGTTACAAAGATATTAAAACCATTTTCTTGCTTCTTCAAAACAAAAATATTAATTTTATTTTTACATAAAAAATTAATTGTGAATATAAAAATCAACTAAATTTAGTAATAGAATCAAAAAGAAAACTTTAAATAGTTTAACATTTAATTACATTTATATTTATAATAAACAAAGTAATCAGTATAATTGTTTTTTTCTCATTCACTAATTTTTGAATTCTCAGAACTAAAGTGATTACAAGATATAATACAGTAGTAATAAGTAACCAATATTTTTGTACAACATTAGTAATAAAATTAACTTAAAAATGTCAAGTTTTGTCAAAATTTTATGATTTCAGCAAAAAAATTGGTTGGGGGCTGTAATTTCAGATACCATTAAAAATTCTCTAAATATAAGCAATAAGTCACAAACACTGCTACATAATTTTTTAAATTTACAAAACAAGGTATGTTTAAAAACCAATTGGATTAACAAAATATAATTTAAAAATAAATGTAATATTTTAATCATTTGGAAAAATTTTAGAACTAATTAAAAATACATGAAATATTTCAAATAGTTTTTTAATGAATAAAATTAAATGTTATGACTTATATCTTATCTGTATTAGTAACCTTAATCTATTTCAAAATAGACATTGCGTAATATTTATTTCATATCAAAATTTTTGTCATAAACGATAAAATCAATTAATTACACAAATTAAGTATAAATCAAAAAGAAAAATGTACATAAAAATAAAAATTAAATTTCAAAATGATGAAAAATTAGTAAATAAATTATTTCTAGATAATGAATTTGAACCACATATCTTTAGAAAAATTGTCTCAATACTCTATCAGCTGTAATAACCTAATTTTAACAGTATGATTTTGGAATACTTATCTAATGACAGCACTAAAATGTCAAATTTGTGTGTTATTTTCTAGAAATATCTAATTAAAATTTTATTTTTACTAGAATTGCTAATTTAAAAAACAGGTTAGTGAAACAAACTATTTGAAATAATAAAAATGGCAGATTCAGATGAATTCAGCTGAAATTATACCATGATAGCTTCTTGAACATGATAGTTGTATCCATCTAAACTGCATGTGGTTTGAATCCTTTCAAGCATTTATTCATATTTCAAATACTTTGGAGTTTTTAAATACTCTTTCAATGCAAATTTTTAATTTTTATATAATATGCAACTGAACTCTCATTATCTGAGATAATGTAGGCCAGTACTACCTCATAAATAAAAGCACAGATAAAAAGACAATAAAAACAATTTTGGATTAAAATTTATGAATATAAAAGATTTAGATATGCTTTTAAGCCTTTTTTAAAACTTTATTGAGTTTAATCATATACAGTACTATAACAATGTTTACAACATTTATTCTTATACAGCTAATAGATACAACAGTTTTAAGAATAAAATGTGTATTATTGTAGTTACATTTTAAAATGAATGATTTGTCTCACATTGTCACTAATAAAAATATCAATTAGTCTTAATTTAAAATTTATAGTATTAAAAATTTTATTTAGAATACAACAGTGATGTCAAGTTTATTTATTGAAATTTAACTATATAAAAAATTAAAAACATACAAAAATATAGGTTAACAATTTTATGATATTAACAATGAATAAAATATAGCATGCTTAAAATCAATATTAAACTTATATGTAAGCAACATAATCAATGTACGATTAAAAAGTCTCAAAATATTAAATGTACAAAAATTTAATATTTTTGGATATAATTCAAGTAAAAATCACTTGGAAAACAAAAGTTGTTTAGAATGTTTTATTCTACAATTATATATTGCAAAAGGTTGCTTAAAACAGACCAAAAATATTTATCCTCTGAAAAGAATGGAAAAATATAAGTACAGTAAAACCTCACTAATTTGGACTATTGCTTTGCATTGTGTATTTTTTTAAAGTACAGTAAAACCCCGCTTAATGCTGTCTTGCTTAACACTGATTCAATATAACACGGTCTGCTCGAAGCCTAAAAAAAGCTCAAAATTTATGTTGATTCAAATTATCACAGAATTTCATTGATTCATATATAATATGATTATTTACGAACACGAACCAATCAGAAAAAAGTGGCAAAATGGTGCACTTTCTTTAAATCTATATTTGTTTGGTACAGTTTTGGAAAAAATATATCATCATAAATGCCATAGTCAATATCGACTTCATTTGGCAAGAATTAACTGATAAATGCATGAATGAAGTGTGGAAGAAGTTATGGCTGAAAGTATTCAAGACTTCTCAACGAGAAGAGACTATCACTGTATCGTTAGGTTGATCAAACTCAACCTAATCAATACAGCAGGACTAGGAGATGTAGATGAACAGGAGATTGAGGAGTTACTGCAGGTTTCTTGTGAGAGTCTTATCAATGATGACCTTCAAGAACTGCAGAACAAGGAATTTGTGTAAAACTGGAAAATAGTGATTCTGAAAACAAAGAACCCAAAAAATTTCTTTACAGATTTCCTTCATAAAAGTTTGGTAACGATAAATAAAATCATTGATAAAATTGTAGAGAATGATCCAGATTTTGAAAGGACTGCAAAAGCAAAATGAGGCGTTTTGGATGCGATCTTCTGCTACCAAAATTTGCTTAAGGGGAAAAAAAGCGACAAATGAAACTTCACGACTTTATCGCAAAAACAAGAATTTCAGAAAAGACAGGACCTTCGTCACAAAAAATAAACTTTACATTTACAGTGTGCATATGTTTGTGTGTTATTTAACATATTTTTATAATCCAAAAAAATGTCCCTTAACAAAAATAAAAATTTTTCATATTTTTATATTAATTTACATAATAATATAACTTAAAATTAAAGTAAAATTTGTTTATTTTTGGTTACGTGTTTTTGGTTACGTACCTTATCCCTATTTACTTTAAGTTAAAATGACCTTGTTTGACACTTTTTCATTTAGCACTTTGTCATCTAGGAACGCATTCCCGTGTTAAGCAGGGTTTTACTGTAATGACTTTGTCAATTCTAATCCAGGCTTTAACAAAATGCATCAAGATATGATCAAAGAACAATTAGAAAAAGAAATTACAAACAAAAATTAACTTCTTTTTTTAAGCCCAAATTAGTACATATTGTCAATGAGAAGAACAATGCCACTACTACTATTGCATTGTACAAGTTTATTAAACCACTGTACTTGTTCATTTAAAGTACCCAATAAAATTTGATTTTAAATAAAGTGCAATTTCAGACCATGCAATATTCATTTGAGTAAAAACCTTGCTATTTCAGACTTTCACTAATTTGAACTAGGCTTTTTTAATTAGTCTAAATTAGAATTATAGTATATCTATTGATTATATCTCAAATGTGTAGATAAGTGTTTATAGACTCATAATCAAAATTGTATAGATAATACTAATAAAACACTTAAGCAATCTGAAACCTATATTTTATAACAAGCAAATATTTATTGTGACATCATCACAATAATTATTATTTATGGTTAAAAATTGCAGCCTGGTATTGTGACATTGTCACTCTCTTAGCTGATTCCAAAGTTGCATGTCAAATGTAAACCAACACATCATCACAATACTGGGCTGCAATTTTTAAACCATATTTTTAATTTATTTAATTTAAATTATATGCTCTTCATCTCAAATTAGTAGTATTTGCCCCTATACAGCACACTTTTCCTGTTAGCAAGCCCCTGTACATCATACTTTTCCTGTTAGCAATAGTCATGCCAGTCATCTATCTAACTCCTTTCAAGGAAAAATTTTTGAATTGAAATAACATGACTTCCTATTTGCATTGGAAGTTTGTATATTGTTAATGAGGACCTCCTGCCCCTAAGCTTTCCAAAGCTAGTCTCAACTTTCATCTATCTAACTCCATTCTCAAGATTAAGGAAAGAAAGACAGGAGGAACTTATAAGTCTACAATTTTTTCAAATTGCAGCCCAAAAATAATACATAGACAATTCAAACAATATAAAATAAAAAAAAATAATAATAATTATGTCATAATTCTGTCAAAAAGATGTTGAATAAACTTCTACAATAATTTCCCAGCATTTATTAAATCCAAAAAATTGAAATTTTGTAATTGCACACTTTTTAAATGTTCCTTACATGGAATTATATAATACAGTCGACCCCCCTATAAGATATAGATACGTTCCAATTTATTAGGAATCCGATTTCTTACAAGTCGTTCCAATCACAGCCGGACACGTGTCAAGTTTACGGACTACGGCTGATTGAAAGGCTTTCTTCCATAAAATTAATCGATTCTACACTAATCCGACTCAACATTTCCAAAATACGTATATTTTTTCGTAGTTTTATAGGAATCGTAATTATAGGGACCGTAATTATAGGGGGGTCGACTGTATATCCATTTTTCTCAGGTTTAATTAGAAGAGAAAAATGATTTAACAAGTTTTTACCTGTTTGTAATAATAGCTAATGAACTGCTAATAAAACAATGAATTAGATATACAGTATTAACAAAAGTGTGAACCACTATTTTATGAGTTGAATTATATAGAATGAAAATTTCTAAATCCTTCATAACTTTATTATAGACTTTTTTGATAACTTGTTATGAAATTAACAAATGTCAAATTTATACGAGGTCATTCAAATAAAGAATTACCACACTGAGAATCTCTCACTCTTTTATTTTTATACTGTATACAAATGAATTTCCAGAGATATTTGTACTGTTGGGATTACAGGGACTTTCTTTTGATTCAGAACAAGATCTATGTAACGCACCGTTTACAAAAAAAGAACCCCAAAAAGAAAATAATTAAATAAAAATAACGCCCCAAAACATAAAATAACGATCGGACATTGACTCCTTTACACCCTGTAAAACTCAGGTGACCACTGTGGGAGCGACGGTGGTTATAAACTAGAGGAAATAGTATCTTTTGCTGTAAAATCATATTGTTTGAGGTGGAGTTAAAATATTTTCTGTTGATTAGAAATACGTACAAGTTTCTTTGATTATTGATTTTGTTACTACTTTACAATTAGTTAACTTTTTGTTCGGGTCAATTAACCCATTATTTGTTTTTTTGTTGTCAATAGAATTAAACTTTATATTTATTATTAATTATTGTCTGTGGTGGTGGAAATTATTGTTTTTTTTATTTGGAAAGTCCAGGCCTGGTACTTGAACCCCACTATTATGTAACCCCTTTTTGTTTACATAAACGGGGCGCCAGTTATGTAACGCACTGTTTACGAAACAAAAAGGGGTTACACAATAGTAGGGTTCAAGTACCAGGTCTGGACTTTCCAAAATAAAAAATAACCAATAATTTTCACAACAACATATAATAATTCACAATAAATATAAGATTTATTATCTTGACAAAAAAACAATAATGGGTTAATTGTCCCAACAGTAAGTTAAATAATTGAACACTGGAAAAGTAGCAACAAAAATCAATAATCAAAGACAATAATACTTATAATATCCAACTCAACAAAACTTTTATCTCCACCTCAAAAGGATTGTACAGCAAAAAGATACGGTTTCCTCTAATTGATCACAGACGTTTCTACCACAGTTGTCACCTGAAAAACTACCTTCTCTGTCATGGAGTGTCGCTTTTTATTCTATTTCGAGTGCAGCTCCGCACTGTCTTAATTTACATAGGATGACGTTCCAGGATCAGGCACCGATGCAAACTAAGTTTACTTTTTCTTTTATGGTCACTGGTGCTAAGGAGTTTGTCCTTAACAAAAAAAGAACCCCAAAAAGAAAATAATTAAATAAAAATAACGCCCCAAAACATAAAATAATGATCGGACATTGACTCCTTTACACCTACACTGTTTATTATATGCAAATGATATATCACTCTTAGCTGATTCCAAAGTTGCATTTCAGTGTAACTGAACACAAATATATAAAACTTAACTTTTCAATAAATGTTCAAAAAACAAAAGGTGTAATATTTCAAAATAATGAAAAAACTAAAAAAAATCTGTTTTATTAATAAAAGTCTATCAGAAGTTAAATTTGCTCCTGAGATCAAATATTCGGGAATTTATTCTTTGAGTTCAGGTTTTTTTTTAATTTATCACTGATCCTTCAATATAAACATCTCAAAACCCTGATATATATTAATAATCAACTAACCAACAGCTGAATTAATAGAGCAGGAATTATGCTACAAATATTAAATTTGGAAATTATATCATATGAATAACAAGGCAGACATTAGGAACCATCTCTTAACAGAACTTCAATTGAAATTGAACAAGTTTGATGTCAAATTTATACCATTGTATAAATATAGCTTCAGCAGCAACTTGTCCTTACTGTGGGTGGTACTAATGAAGATCTATTAACTCACTATTTGCTTCTTGATCAACTTAGACCAATCTCAAAGACCAGATATTGTGTATTCATTTTACTCAATGCCAGATAAAGAAAAAGTCTTTTTCTAAACTGCTGTTGTTTAAAATTTGTCAATTTTTTTATCATTCACTAATTTATTTAAGATAAAAATATATATCAGAAAATTTATGTTCTCTCCCACTATAAAAGCTCTCTCTTTAATCAATAAAGTTTAATAATACTGTATTTACTATATCAGATGTCCCAAATAAACTGACCCAGTAGTTATATCATCATCAAATTTTATCTAAATATTATATTATAAGTGTAACTTGAACCAAAACATGTTTACAATATTAACAATGTAAATTCGTCTCTGTAATCCAAAACACACTCTTTGGTAGACTTATCTCACAGCAATTTCTGGTTAGCAAATTTAACTTTTATTTTTCATTGAACTACAAATATATTTTGGGTTGGTATAATATACTCCAACCCCTCTTCAGTGCTAGTTCAAATAAACAAAAAGTGTTAAAACATGACTATGTTTACTTGACTAGTGTTAAAACATGACTATGTTGACACTTTTTGTTTATTTGAACTAGCACTGAAGAGGGGTTGGAGTATATTATACCAACCCGAAATATATTTGTAGTTCAATGGGTAATAAAAGTTAAATTTGCTAACCAGAAATTGCTGTGAGATACGTCTACCAAAGCGTGTGTTTTGGATTACAGAGACGAATTTACATTGTTAATATAACATACAGCAAACCAACTATATATGTTTACAATATATTTTGTCTAAATTGATAGAATATCTATTTGAAAGCAAGAATATATTATATTTAGTTTTTCAATCTAAAACAAAAAATCTAAACAAAATTGCTTTTTATTAGTGAAGAAATTCTTTTAGTCTTAAAAAAGATACCAAAAAATATCAATAAGTTGACATACAATCTACAAACAATTACTCAATTCTGTAAACTCTGAACGTGCATACTTGCACTATTTTCAGAAAATAAGATAATACATAATTTAATATATCTTATAAAATTAAGATATAATTTATACAAAAATACATTTAATAATCACAAACCATATTTTTTTATTATTATTTAAATTATTACCTTGCATTATGTAAACTTAACATTTGATATATTATGCAACTTACATAGCTATTTATTTAGCATTTTTACACTAAATATAACAAGAAATAAATAGTTCAGCATAAATAATTAGTAGTTTATCTAAATATTGTTGAGTTTAAAGAAAAATATTTGAATAGTAGTGAATGTGATTTTACTTTCAAACTGATATTCTAGATGTAGGGAAAAATATGATATAAATAGCCTTGATTCAAGCATCATGCAATCAATGAATGAAACAAAGTTAAACATAAAATATAACTATAAAAAAGTAGTGTTACCCAGTTTAATATTAAATTCTTTTCATCTTGAATGAAATGCATATTTTATCAGTAATGCAAGTTTTAAATATATATAACTAATAACTTAAAAATCAAGAATAAGAAAAAATAATTTTGTAATTAAACTTATACAGTAATACCTTGACTTACGCTACCCCAACTTATGCAAACCCGGAGTTACGCTATTTTCAAATCTCATCAATTTGTCTTTTGTTTGAGTGCCATGCAACTCTTGATTACTCACTCCCCCACACTATTATTCGGCTTATGTTCGGACGTGTCGGACGCACGGAATCAACATATAGCTACAATTTATTTCTGTGTTTGTTATATCTACGGAGACTTGAGAGACACTACGTGGTGATTTCTTGTAACCATGAACGAATCAAAAGATGAGATAAGATTAACGAGAACATTTATTAGCTTACATACAACTGACTTGGATTTTACATAAATTGCGAAATTATACCCCGACTTACATGAATTCAACTTACGCGGTTATCGCTCGGTCCCACCTATCGTGTAAGTTCGGGGTATTACTGTAATTTATATTAATAATAAAAAAAAATAACTTTTAACCTCAGTATTATTGTAATAAGTATTCCAAGAAGAACGTAATGATTCTTGTCCTCCTAAATCCCACATGACAAAACGAATATTTTTCCAAATGACTTCTTCAACATTACTCCCTATAGTCGGTGTTGTATGAACAACTTCATTCATTAAGCTGTTGAAATAATTGATAAAATTAAATTGATAAAGCAATTAAGAAAATAAACATTGATAATAGTTTATTTTCTTGATTCTTGAGTTAGTTGATTTTTTGAAACTTAAAACAAGTCTCAAAAAAATCAACATTTATAAGTAGAAATAAATATTTAATCTATTGTATTTTTTATAATAATCTAACCTAATATATTTTAATAAAGTAATTTTTTATAACAACTTAACCTAAATAGAAGTAAATAATCCAGATTTTTTAAAATCACTTGAAAGTTAGAATACCAGATTTTTATTTTGATTATTGTAATACTTACAACTGATATAAAATTGTAGTTTTTCCAGCATTATCTAAGCCTATAATAATGACTTTATGCTCTGAAATAAAAAAATTTTTATGCAAAAATTATATTTTTTTAAGTGATCATTATTTTNCTTTAAAATGGAAATTTTACAGTAACATATTTTAAATTTTATTTTTAGATTACATTCTGCAAGAAATATTTTTAAAAAAGTTGAAAACATTAAACTGTTAACCTGTCTGTTTTCTCTATGCAAATTTCATACTACTCAGTTCTCAGCTATTCTTCATTTCATAAATTTTTAAATTTAAAGAGTGAAGAATATCTAAGAAACTGCTGGTGTTAGCCTTAAATTAAAAATTTAAGTTTAACACAACATACTAGGACTGAGGTAATTGCATAGTTGCAAAACTTGCTATTTTTGGAAAAAGTTGTTATCCTGAACTAGAAAATGTTCACCTTTTTGAGATAACATAACACCATGTTTCTGAAGACTATTCATTAAGACCAATACTAACAAGCTTGGTCAAGCCAATCTGATAGAATGCTCCACAAAAGCAAATCAAATATTAATTTTCTTTAAAATAAATTTTATAAATTCTTGGAATCAAGTAGTTGTTGCGCATGCACAATAAATGGACTGAATGGAACATAACACTTAGGTAATGAAAGTGAAGTCATTGTGCATGCACATGGACATCTGACAGATACAAAACATCTGACAGATAGTCAAAAGTCCTAACATAAGCACTTCACTACTACAGTGGAGCATGCTAAAAAGCCTAACATTGTATGGTAATTCTTTTAGAAATTGTCCACAATTAACATTTGCTTTGAGTTCAAACACTGTCATATGCATAACAGGATGAGACAAAAAAAATCTGGACTAAGTTTAAAGCATCATAACTTCTGAACTCAAAAAGACAATTTTAAAATCTTTGCACCAAAAATTACATTATACATGTCTGGTTACAGCACATGAAGCTTTCAAACATTTATAAGTCAGTTTGGAAAAATGACTTCAAAAGAAGACATATTAAGAAAGCACATTGTACAAATGTACAAAAATAAAGCAAACCACTCAAAAAAATTGGTGGGGTGCATTTTTTAGCTGAAGGCCATAGCAAATCAACTGTGTATTGTATATAATATTTTGTAGTAGTATGAAATATCCGGAACATGGAAAATAAGATCAGGAAGTGGAAGAAAGCCAGTTGTTATGAATGCTAAAAACCAAAGAGCATTGCAATAAATGTTTGACAACAAAGATGCAATTAGCCAGGTGGAGGCAGCTAAAAAGGTTGCATCAAACATAAATAGGTAAGACACTTAAGATGGTAATGTTGCCACCAGGCCAGTTTTCACCTGGACAAGCTGTTTTTTTAAATTCATGGTCTGGATTAATTATTAATTTGTTGGTTTTCAGATGTTTTAATGAACTTTGCACAATACAGAAAAGAGTAGGAAATTTGAAAGACAAGTTAAAAGCAGAAAAAGAATAATTCACAGTTATGGGCAATTATATTAAAAAAAGAGGAAATTTCCAAACATTCAGAGCATAATTGAATTTATGTTTAGCATTCCAACTTCTAATAAGTATGTTGAAAGATGTTTCTCTTCAACAAATAACTTATGGTGAAACAAAAGAAACAGATTAACACCAGAAAATATTAAAGCCAAACTACTAATTTGCAGGTAACATAAAAATTGAATGTAAAAATTTTTACAAAGAAATAATAAAAAATAAAAAAACTTTTAGATGCATCTAGGAGCAACCAAAAATATGCTTTTAAGGCAGTAAATAAAGAATAAATGTAATATTTATTTTTATGTAATTTTTCTCAATTATTTTCATATAGTTTATTACTATATGTAACCATTACTGATGTTAGTTTTCAAATTTCTATATTTATATTATATCAGATACAGTACAATGTATCTTTTGTAATTTATTATTATTAATGTTGGTATGTCTTACTATTTATTATTTTTACTTTTATGTAATTGCAATTTATATCGACATCGGATTGTTACTAATTATTTTTGGATATGCCACATGTGATTATTGTATTACTTTAATAATACATCACGTACATGTTTACCTTCTAATATAAAAAATATTTATTTTCTACTCACAATAAAAAAATAAATTTTTTTTAATTCTAAATATAACATCCTAACTTTAAAATACTGTATACAGATCAGCAATTTTAAAAAGGTGGCAACACTATAAGATGGACATAAAGAAAAGGAAGAGAAAGAGGGCCACAGAGTGCACTGCTGAAAAAATTGCTAAAATCTGAACTCAACACAGATGACTTAAGAAATTTTGAATTCAAAACATTCATTTGTGAAACAACAAGTACTATTTCTTTCTCTCTCTGGCATGCAAAAGCCAGGAAATAAAATATACAATTACTCCAGCAACCCTATTAGATCTTGTGACTATACACAGCTGAATAGAAATGCAAGAGACTCAAAAATGCTTTACTGAAAAGTTCTAAATAAATAATTGTATTCCACAAATTTTTTCTACACAAAATAAAACAAAATGACAATAAAACAATCATTAAATTTTCACTATCATAAAAAAAGTGTATATGTACAGTACCATACATATATATGCATACAGTACAGAATTGCATATTATACAACTCCTAGACAAAAAAATTAGAATATTCACCTAACTGAAAGTTTAGTATACATTTTCTCAAACAACAAAGAACACAAAAATTATTTTGACACTACATAAATAATATTTACATATATTTACAGTCGATCCCCCTGTAAGATCATTGATTTTTCCGTTTTATCTGAATTACATGTTGTACGAGTCACTTAGATTTTACAAATACGTGTGCCGGGCTGTGAACGGCTCACATATTTGTAAAATCTAAGTGACTCGTACAACATGTAATTCAGATAAAACGGAAAAATCAATGATCTTATAGGGGGATCGACTGTATTATACCCATTAATCAGACAAATTAACTCAAACATTTTTTTTGTTGCAAATGGAAATGAAATGACAAAAAAAATAGAACAGTTTGACCATGACAAAAAATTAGATTATTAGCAAAAACAGCAGACAAACAACCATAAAAAACTAAATTGTAATGCAAAACTTGCATATTGTTAGGCAGTGCAGTATAACAGTACAACATGGGGTGTAAGTGCAACATCAGTGACAGAACTAAAGCCTTGCATAAAGCAGGAAGAACACAAAAAGAAATTGCAAATTATGTAAAGTGTTTGCAGCCAACAGTCTCTAGAGTACTGAAACAACAAAATAGTGTTCAAGTTTTAACTAACAAATGCCAGAAATGTGGACGTAAATGAGCAATGACTATGAGGGACAAGAGAAACTTCAGAAATATTGTTGTGCAAAATCGCCTTAAAAGCATTAATCACTTGCATGCCATCTCTAATGAAAAAGCAACAACCAGCATGTGTTAGATGATGCAGAGAGAGGCTCATAAGGTGACAAGATGACTGGAATAATGTTCTCTTCAGTGACAAATCCCTGTTTTGTCTCTCCTGTGGTGACCAAGGCCCATGTGTATTGAGAACAGCCAAAGAGGCCTTTGAAAAGGACTGTATGAAGAGATCCATAAAGTTTGCATCATCCGTCGTGATCTGGGGATGCATGAGTGCTAACAGCATAGGACATCTGTGCATTCTTTGAAAACATGTCAATGCACAGACATATCAAGACATCTTAGAGACATTTATGATACCATTGGCAGAGGATTTAGATGAGGAAACATTTCTATTACAACAAAACAGGGCATCCTCTCATACCACAAAGTCAACAATATGTTGGTTACAAGAATGAAAGACTGCAATCCTGCCTTTGCCAAGCAATTCCCCAGACTTAAACTCCATTGAAAATTTGTGGGAAGTCATGAAATGACAATTTAATGAATGGTAACCCAACTTCTAAAGAGTTGCTAATGACGTGCATTCAACACATTTGGAACTGCATCACCAGAAATGAATGTAAAGCATTAATCTGCACCATGTCCAAAGATTGCAAGCAGTAAATACAACAAAATAAACTTAATATTTTTTGGTGTTACCGCCAAAAAATATTAAGTTTACTTCATTGTATTTCCTATATTTAACCCACATTTAGCTAATATTCTAATTTTTTGTCATGGTTAAACTGTTATTCTATTTTTTGTCATTTCATTTCCATTTGTAACAAAAAAAAAGTTTGAGTTAATTTGTCTGATTAATGGGTATAATAAATATACACAGACATTGTTTATGTAATGTCGAAAATAATTTTCGTACTCTGTGTTGTTCATGAGAAAATGTACACTAAACTTTCAGTTAGATGAATATTCTAAGTTTTTGTCTAGGAGTTGTATATAATAAATAAATATTCTGCAAAACAAAAAGTGTTATTTATCTAACTTATATTTGTCAAAAGTACATTTGTCTATATGGAGTATAGACAAATTCTTATCTGCTAAAAAGCATTTACTTGCATACTGAACAGACTGTATTGTTTATTTGCAACTTTTCAATGATGTATTCTATTTACACTGAACTCCTGATTATTTATGAATCATCAAAATATTAGGATTACTGACAAAGTAACACAAGCATCATTCAGCTTGTCTTTCCTCCCTCAACTATGAATTCTAAGGGACAGAAGTGAGGTGATTCATTAATCCTGGAGTTTTATTTTGCAGTAGGCAAAGTTGGCACTATAAAAAACAGATATGAAAAAATATATCCTATTAGTCCCAAAATTAAAATGCAGTAGTTTGGAAAAAAATTAAAATTTTACACAATATTTTTGAAAATAGAAAAAATCTACATTTTATATTTAATGACTAAATATACAACTTGAGAATATGAAACTTGGGACTTACATCAGGTTATAATGAAGCTGAGCTGTATATATATACTATACTAGCTGCAAGGACCCACTTCACTGGGTTTTTATTTGTTCGTACATTTGTATGTAATATAGTTTTTTTTATATATATAAAAGACTGTTTTTCTAAGTAATCTAGAATNAAATTCTAAATAGAAAAAGTTACTTTTTTTAGTAATATTGTTTCATTTTATATATAGAAATGTTTGTTCCTTATTTTTTTCTACTAATTTCAAACTTAAAGTTTAACTTAGAGAATTTAGAAAAAATTATTATAATTTGGACAACTTTATAAAATGTTTGAAATGTTATGTCAATAATAATAAAAAACCAATTTTAATGTAATCAGTAGCATATTTAATATATCCTTACAAACATTTTTAAAACTGAATACTAATTAGTTATACTTTATACTCTATAAACAGAAAGATACAGGCATATTTTTTGCAAAATATCAAAATTAAAATACCAGTAATCACTTTTTATGTTTTTCAATTTGTAATGAAATTATAATCAGAAGCAGCCTTAAATGAAAAAAATGGCAAAGTACACATTTTAATGTCTTTTCTTATATCATGGATAAAATTATCTCTCTCTTAATTTTAATTCTACTCTCTTAAATTTTTCTCCTAACTTCATTTCTACTAAAACAAACAGTCTTATTTATAGAAGTCAAATTACTGTGTGAAAAACATTTTTGGATTATTAAACCAACTTTTGTTTAAACTCTGGTAGCAGACAATGTCGCATTAATTTAATTTTTATCAAATTTGATGAGTTTACAAGCTTAAAGATAACCCACTAACAATATGTAAATATTTATGTATAAAAAAAATATTATTATATATTCAGCAACTCAGCAAGATATGAGCTTCCATAATAACTTATAATAAAAATTATTAAACAATATCTCCCTATGCAAATTGTCTGCAGAAAATTATATTTACTTATTAAAAATTATGACAAGGTACTTGTACCTTCTATTTATTTGGAAATTCTTGTAATTTTAAACAATTTAGAAAAAATATTGTACAAAAAATTTATCTATTTAATTTTTAGCTGTTAGTAAATTTGTACATAAATTAAGGATTTTGGTTTTACATAAATATGCATTTATAGCTTTAAAACTTGCAAAACTAGAAATATAAATGATTTCAAAAATATAACTGAAGAGGCCAGTTCAAGTCATTAGACCTTCAAGTTAAGTTTCAAGACATGCAAAAAATTAAATAAATCTCCTACATAAAGTATTTAACATTGAATTTTTTCCAGTGGCTCATAGAACTAAGAGAGTATTTCTGTCCCACAAAAATCTATCCAGTAGATAAAATGTCAACACAGTTGCGACCATGAAAAGCCCCTGGAAATATATCCTTATATTGCATGCAAGAGTTTCGGTCAATGTTAACACATTTAACAAATTGTGTACTGGATACAAAATATGATAAAAAATTACACCTTTGTCAATCTAGCAAGAATTTAATAGCATAAAAATGTTTTCAATCGTTTTAAATTTCAAATAATTGAAAACATTTTTATGCTATTAAATTCTTGCTGGATTGACAAATGTTAACACACTTTTGATTCAAGATTATGAACTTTTATTCAAGGTATTGTCATCCAAAATTTGTTTCTTGGTTATTGCAATTCTTCCAAAAAACTTGCAAATCAATGAAATCTGCATGTTTCATTAAACATTGCTTCCAATACAAAACTATGCCTTATGCCCAAACTGATCAACATTATGAGTTATCTAATTCTGACTATACAGAGAAAATAATTACAAAAAAATCCTTAATAATCTTAAACCTCAATACTGTACTAAACAAGTAGATAGGCATTCTTAGTGCCCTCAGTTATTTATTCAATAAGTATGCATTGAACAGAATGACTTTCCTATTTGAAAATTTAGCATTATTGTCCTCTATGAAACAGAAATATGTACCTATGAACTTTTACCCTTTTCATCTTGTCACTTCCCCACAAGCATTTTAGTGGTATATACATCTTTGGAAATTATACCTAATCCTTACTCAAACTTTGAATGCTTGTGATAGCCCATAATTAGGCACAACATATATTTAATTATTATTAAATTTGTTAGATTTATTAAATTTTTAAAAAATTTACTCAAAATTGTCAATAGAGTTGTAAATATTCTACAAACAAAAAATGAAATTTAACACCAAAGAAATTTAAAGCAATAAAAAGGTCAATGACTGGAAACAGAGATAGCTTATAAATCTAGATGTTTATTTTTCCAACTAACAGTTTTTAAATTTACAAATATATTATAATTTTGAATAATATCAATTTATTATAAAAAAATTATCTAATTTTTTTTAGTATTTTAATTTTAAAATATTTTAAATGAAAATCAGTGGAAAAAACTGATAAACATACTAAAAAATCTTTCATAGAAATTAAATTACAAAATAATTGCTGAATTTCATAAAATTAATTAAGCAACTTAAAATATTAATTTTGGAATGTATGAAAGAGTGATTTATGGATATAAAAATGTCAATTTTACAATAAAGATTAAATAATTTAACATATGCATGTTTTTAAACCAACTATAATTGATTGCACAAATACTGAAATTTCAAATCAATTTTTTCAAATAAACAAACATTCAAAATAATCATTACTAATTGGAATGCACGTGTTAAATTTAAATGGTGCACTATTAAACTTGCATGTTTAATTAATGGTCAAACTATAATTGAAAATTATTGGCAGCAGGGATTTAATTTAAAAAAAAAAATTAAATCCCAGCTACCAATAATTTTCAATTATAGTTTGACCATTAATTAAAATAATCATTGTAATTAGCTTATAGTTAATAATTGAACAAAAATTCTAAATAGAAAAAGTTACTTTTTTTAGTAATATTGTTTCATTTTATATATAGAAATGTTTGTTCCTTATTTTTTTCTACTAATTTCAAACTTAAAGTTTAACTTAGAGAATTTAGAAAAAATTATTATAATTTGGACAACTTTATAAAATGTTTGAAATGTTATGTCAATAATAATAAAAAACCAATTTTAATGTAATCAGTAGCATATTTAATATATCCTTACAAACATTTTTAAAACTGAATACTAATTAGTTATACTTTATACTCTATAAACAGAAAGATACAGGCATATTTTTTGCAAAATATCAAAATTAAAATACCAGTAATCACTTTTTATGTTTTTCAATTTGTAATGAAATTATAATCAGAAGCAGCCTTAAATGAAAAAAATGGCAAAGTACACATTTTAATGTCTTTTCTTATATCATGGATAAAATTATCTCTCTCTTAATTTTAATTCTACTCTCTTAAATTTTTCTCCTAACTTCATTTCTACTAAAACAAACAGTCTTATTTATAGAAGTCAAATTACTGTGTGAAAAACATTTTTGGATTATTAAACCAACTTTTGTTTAAACTCTGGTAGCAGACAATGTCGCATTAATTTAATTTTTATCAAATTTGATGAGTTTACAAGCTTAAAGATAACCCACTAACAATATGTAAATAGTTATGTATAAAAAAAATATTATTATATATTCAGCAACTCAGCAAGATATGAGCTTCCATAATAACTTATAATAAAAATTATTAAACAATATCTCCCTATGCAAATTGTCTGCAGAAAATTATATTTACTTATTAAAAATTATGACAAATTACATAATATGCAATTTTATCTATGTAATTACATTTATTCAATATTACAAAGTTTATATGTTGATCAATATCAAACATATATATCACATCAATATCAAACATTTATCCAATGGAAACATATATATGTTTCCATTGGAACGAAAACTGTTAAAGCCTGAAGATGGCCTATACAAATTGGCCGAAAACGTTCGAATAAACAAAAATAACTCGGCAAATACAAATCAGGTGTGTGTGATTTATTATTATAAATAGATAGCATTGCTGAGAAGGTAGATAGATCATATATATCACACTAACCTTAAAATGCTTTGCAAATATTTTTAAACGTATTACAAATGTTTTTGGTCCACCTTAGTACCTTCAGTTGGAGTTCTACTAGAGAAAACCCTTTTCTGGTATGATTCATTAAAAATTTAAAAAGGAAATTAGAACACACTGGAAACCGAATAGAATAGAAAATCAACCAGAAAAAGTGTTTTCTCTAGTAGAACTTCATCTGAAAAAGGTCCTAGGGTAAACCAAAAACATTTGTGATATATTAAAAAATATTTGCAAAGCATTTAAATAGTGTGATATATTTGTCAATGCTTTGTTTATTACATGGATTTTAATATCAAACATATTTCAACTTAAAAAGTTGGCTTATTTTTCTGTTTTAAGCAAGATACATGAATGAAAGTAAAACTAAATCCGAAATTACTGAACAGATCTGAAACTACCAAAAACAACAAATACTTTTTATTTTATTTTAAAGTATATTATTCTAATAATCAGGTGCAGATAACTTGTTCAAGAATTCTAACCAGTAAAAGGCCTTGACATATTAACTTGTTTTCATATTATAGTTAAAATGGTTGCTTATGAAATTCATTTTGAAAGATTTTTATATGAAAAGCAATCTATAAAAAGAAAAATCTCATTTTACATTTACAAAACAGGATTTCTTTGTATATAAATTACATCCCATATGACAAAATATTTAAAATTTGGTATATATAAACAACATTTGTAGTTTAAATTAGTGATTATTTATTGATTGATTTAAATATATATTAATGAAACATTTTCATATATTTCTTACCTTCATTATTAAACAAACTCCAAATTTTAGCAAATAATATTCCCATATTCACCTTTAGAAATCCTAATAATGAAAATTCATTGTATAATTATTACAGTTCATTTTTAACAATGTTTACGAATTAGATAAGTTCTAAATGAATGTCAAATTGATTTATAATTCATAAAACTTCGAACCGAGAACATTTAAAGAGAACGAAATGACGCCTATTAACCATCAGCTGAATCAACTAGTTAGTTAGTTATAAGTATGATTATTGGTTGTTTTTTATTTACGTAATTGTGATGTTTTGAAATTAAACATATGACGAGGCACTACTTTTGACACGTGACTTACATTTTCTAATACGTTGTTAATATTTTATAAATTATATAAATTATTCTTATTAAACTTTATGAAGTACTTTAAATTGAATTTAATTTAATATTATTATCTTATTCTCAGTTAAATATTTATTTTAAACTTATTTTTTTTTCGAAACATCTTAAATGGACAGATGGCGTTAGTTGTTATGGTTAGAAACTATAGGTAATAGATTTTTTTTAATCTTTATATCGAAATTTGTGTGTTTATTTTACTCGTTTATGAATTCTATAATGAATTTTTAAATAAAATCAATAAATAAATTAATATCTAGTAATTATAGAAGTGCTTTATGTGGATATTGACAGAATTTCAGTTAAAGTTAATTCTAAAGGTTTTTAAATATAAGATTTCAGTTTGTGTGGTCATAGGAATGTATACCGAAACGTTCTAAAGAATAAATTTAATTAAATATAATTTATGGCTGTATTTAATTAAATTAGTATCATAGTCTCACTCTTCTAATGATAAAAGAAGGCATACTGCAGGGAATTGTTTAATTAGATCTTCAACAGATATAGTGCTTTTAACAAAACAAACAATTTACTAAGTTAATAATTAGGTTACTCAAAATCTATATCATAAATTTGAATTTTTTTTATTTAAAAGACAATAAATTAGGTTTTTAATTTTCTTATAGCTATTTCTGCTGAAAAATCTCTTTAATGAATATAGTCGTGTGAATGTATTTACATTCAACTAAGTAATGATATTACATTATTTTACACAGCTTCAGATTGTTCCCATTTATTTCCATAACAGCAAATGTAAATTCCATACATTTTTCCAAATTTCATAACTTCTATGCAGAAGTTAAGAAATTTGGAAAAAATTTGTAATCAAACATTTAATTTCATCAAAAATTAGAGAAGTAACACATTCTTAATTTGTGAATTTAGGTTTGACTAAATCAAATCATTATCAATTACACAAAATTGATAATCATAAATATCTAAAATAGCCTATGAAAAATAAGAAAATACTTCTAGGAAAAAAAAAAGATCTTCAGATAAGTATTTCATCATTTACATTACATATAACTAAACATGACTAATATGATTATAAATTACTAACATGTGATATTGAAATAATTATTATTTAGTTAATTTTACTACTCAAAACAATTATAGAAGAAAATGCTTATTGTAAGTAATTGTTAATGTTATACACATTACACCAATAACAATTATATTAACTAATTCATTTGTAGAAATTTAAATCATCATCATATTTTTTAGAAACCATTAAGGAATGTTTAAAGATTATTTTTAGTATTTTCAATCTATATCAAGTAACTCATCATAGTATGATTCTGTTAGATATTTTATTTCAAGAAATGATCTTTAAATTCTCTATTTTTGTAAAAATTAATTATAAAAGAATAATAAAAATATATAGAATTTTTTGTAAAAAAAGAACTTGAATACAGACAAAATTATATTTTTAATGTTTAAAAATTTACAGAGACCATAACATATAACAAATCTTTTTCAATAAATAATTACAAGATATTTTGTTTTTGAAATCCAGTTTGTATTGACATTTAAGGAGAATTACATAAGTAAAAACTATTAACTAATATTTTTCTTCATTTTAATAATAATTGCATATTTATTTAATCAATAAAATCATAAACTGTATAACTTGTGAAAATATTGGCAAAAGTGAAATATGCCTATATGTATTAAATATAAAAATTAATATTCAATTATAAACAAAACATATTATATGAAGCATTGATATTAAATTATTGAAAATTTTTAGTAACTTTAAAAATAATATAATTACAGACCAGACAAACTTAAATGTAATAAATTTACAAAAATATATGCATTAAATTTTAATCAAATTATTAGAAGAGCCCATCAGCAGCCAAGTGCATGAAGCCACTGAACATTGGTAGTTGGTTCTGGGATCTTGCCAACAGTTTAGCCACATGGAGTTTTCTGGTTTTCTTCAGGTTTGTAATGCTTAAATAGGGGCCAGTTTCCCATAGAAAGTCCACATAATTTAGGGGTTTTTATGTCTTTATCTTTTTTCAATGATTTATTTCCAAGCTAAAGATAATGCATTTGCATCCCTTGTGTTTAGGCACTGTTTTTTGGCCTTGCTCTTGTATATATCTATTTTTTACATATAGCAATGGTTGGAGAATGTACCTTTTTTAATAATGTTTCTTTCATCCCACTTTATAACAGAGCCTTCCAACTGTGACATTGCTGCTAAAATTGCATTACATAAAAACCTCTGAATTATGTGTCCTCATTAGTGATGTGCCAGATCGTTAAAACTGTATATCCGCGGATGTGGATACGGATCATTAGTGTCTGGATACGGATACAGATCTCAACTTTCGTACTCAGTCGGTGCTGGTGCATGTGACCTTGGACCAATAGTTGACGCTTTGCGTTAATAACGCGACATGTTTTGACTTGCACTGCACGTGTTTTAGTTTATAGTGTAAAAGTGTGCTAAATTAGAATTCACAGCAAAGGAAGACAGGATAAAGTAACAAAAGTTGATATAATTTTCCAATTAAGCTATTTCGCGTCTTTATACAGATTCTATTTCAGGGGATTCCAACTTCACGGTACAAACAGTAGCATGCGAAATTACAGCGATAATAATAGTTTGCTGTATCCAAAGCACGTGTACAATACAGATCCCGATCGCGACAATATAACCCGGAACCTTAAAACTAACCTTAAACACTAACTTAACACTAATAACAGAAAAAGGGATAGAATTAAGAAGACAGAAAAAATGGTAGATAAGATAGAAATAGGGATATCTGGGGTTTTGTCCCTTTTTTCGGCTTGTTTCTTTATGCGTACTGTTGGGTGGGATAACACACGTCCTTCTCCTATAACTGGCCAGTTCTCTTCTTCAATAATTAGGATTTTTCCTTCCACAGTCGTCAATACGACCTTAAAACAGGATCTTTTTTCTGAACTTATTTCTGAACTATCCGGTCATTGAAAATACGACTCCCAGTATTCTCACCTCGTCCGTACACTCTGCCGTCCGGTTTACGAATGACCTGCTACGTCACTTCTCTTTTTTCTCCGGCTCCTGCTTACACCTTTGCTCCTCAAATTTCTAGGAACTGCTCATCCCACCCAAGGGACAGGGAATAGATAAGAAAGTTCTAGAAGAAAATAGAACAATAGAACTAAGGGTAGAAAGAAGAAACGAAACTAAACTAAAATTAATATTTACATAAATATAGCGTACCGCCACAATAGTTTAGTGCAGTGTTTCCCAACCTTTTTTGTGCTATGCGCCACCTGAGCCTTTCTAAAATTCTTATGTCTCCCTAATATATATAGCGGCTATATGGTTAACTTAAACTCTGGACAAGTCCATTTTCGAATTGCCCTCCTTAGCAATCCAATTGCCCCTTGTGGAACATGGACCCCACGTTGAGAAACACTGGTTTGTGGTTAGTGTGACACAGGATAGCATAGATTACGTTTGTGTTTTTGGAGAGTGTTGAGTTAAATTAAAATAAAAACAATGTCGACAAAAAAGTTTAGTAGTGAAATATGGAAATATTTTACGATAGTAAATGACGAATGTGCTATTGCTACCTATCTTTAAAATTTCATATAAGTAATGAAATTCATTAAGATAAAAGATCCGCTAAAGATCTGCTAAAAAGTAACGGACACGGATACAGATCTTTTTTTTCCCTCGGATATCCGCGGATGTGGATACGGATACGGATACCGGCACATCACTAGTCCTCATATATTATACATATTGGATAAATAAATATGATAAAAAACACACCTTTAACACTCCAGCAAATAAAAATAAAAAACATTTTTGATTGTTTTTAACTGATCTTCCTCAGTTACCATAAAAAAAAAAAGTTTTATAAAATATTATAAATACTAATAACAAGTAAAATTTTCATGAAGTTCGATCCTACTTGAGATAGGACACATTATCCTCTTCTATTTCCCAATCCCTTTGACCTTTAACCACCAAAATTTAATAGCATTAATCTTAATCCCCTAATACACAAACCTCCCTGCAAAATTTCAGAAATTATTGACAAAAGACACAGGAGTTATTAAGCTTCAAAGTGGGTGAGCAAAATTGTCCCCCCTCATACACACATCTATACATACAGAAAAACCCCTGAAGTTTTTGCATTTCTTGACATTTCAAAGTCCCAAGTCCAACAATGTAAAAATCTTAGATTATTTTTTAACTGATTGCCATACTTTCCCTCTGTTATATGGGTATATAACAGAGCTGGGAAAGTAAAAATTTTAATTAATTTTTTTTTATCAGAATATAAGAATACTTTATCACATTTTTGAATGAGTCATTTATTAATCAAACAGCAAATTTAGATAAAAACTCATTACCATTTGATTAATTAATTAAAATTTTATATTGTTATTTAAGTTACACATTGTAAATTTATTTTATTGTAATACAATTTTTTTCTTTCAGAGTATACGCATCTTTTGAAGTAATAAAGAAAGAAGAAAAGAGGAAATGAATATCTCTTTATAGTTTTTAAATTACATTGCCTCAGATTTCTAAAGTATCATGATTAATTAATATTATATTTTTGCTCAGAAACATATTTTATAATACAATTTTAAATCAAGTAAGCCAATATTCCCAATTTTATTAAAAATTAGAAAAAAAAATCAATATGAATGAATTGGTTAGAAGTTTTAAAATAACTTTGTGTAAATACAGAATTTAAACAAGTTAAAATATGATTACACTAATTACACAAACAATCTTAAATTATCATCTGCTGAACATTTAAGATTATGTACATAATTAAATTTCAACTTATTTATAAAAAATCTTCATAATTAAAATACTGGTTTATCATTATGTATACAGATAGTATTTATGTAAGGTTTTATAAACAATGTGAGTAATTATTAAGTTTATACTAATTGGTTTTGCATTACAGAATCATAGTGTTCTAATTTTCTCTTTAAAATTTTGTTTTTTTAATTGACAGTTCTAATACAACTAAACTAAAAGTTATTTGTTAACAAATGATAAAATTAATAATAATAAATCTGACAATAATCCTGTTTAAAACAGATAACAAGCATAGAATAATTTAATATAAAAATTAATAAACACTGATATTTTACAATAGTTTATTATTTCATTAAATAAATTGTTTTTCTCAGAAATAGTATATTTGGGTATTAGTTTTAGCTTCACTATTATATATTAACTCATTCTAATCAATAACTATATAAATTTTAAAAAAGTACAGTATATCATGCTAAATCATATTAGAATTTATTCTTTGATTGCGATTTGATTGTTTGATTGAAAAACTTTCATCAGACTTCTTTTTGTTAAATTGATTAGTATTAATTTATAACTGCTTTAATTTTATTAAATATTTCATATAAAAGAATATTTGCTAAAAACATGATTTTTTTTAAATAAAGAAATATTTTAAGATATTTTTTAGGCCTAATTAGTTAAAATTATAGAAAATTACTCTTAAAAGTATTATTACAGAATCATTAATTTTAATAATTATTTTTATATTAAAATTGTTTAAATGAAACATTGTATCATATGGATACATCTCATAGATCAAGATTTTGAAAAAAACATTTTAAAGATAGTAATAGATTCTTAAAGAAAATATTAATTCATTAGTTAAATGTTTATTTTAAATACATCTGTGTGAAAAAGATGCATGAGTTTAAATATATCTGCTGTTATTTGATATTTTGTGCATGTATAGCTGAGTATTGTTTAGACATAGCTGAAACTCTTAAAAATGAAAATGTGACTTTAATTTTTGTAACATTAAAAAAGTTATAAAAACTATTGCATATATCTATCAAATATTTTTATTCAAATCTAAAAGAAATTATCTCTAAACCATATAAAAGATTTGTGTACATTTTAAAGCTTTAGAAGATGAAAAGAATTTCTGAAGACATTGTGAATATTCAATAATACAGCTTTTAATCTACATAGTAAAAAATATATTGTTTTCTCTAAAAAGTACTGATAGTCTAAAAAGTACTTTCTGTGGAATTTTACATGTTGGGCATTTATTTTTGATAAATAGGACTAAGTGCTTTCAGACTTATTTTTTGTTAATTAAATATTAATATTTTTGTTAGAAATAGTTGGTTAGATTTCTGCTGAAATGTGTTTTTATATCGAAATGCACAATTGTCATAAAATCTAATTTAAAATTGATACTATTGTAAAAATAATTATCAAGTAATAAGTATAATTACTGAATATTTTAAGAATTTCTTCTTTCTTTTGGAATGTTTTCATTTTAAATTAATTTTGCAGTAGAAACTTGATCTACATTGGAATTTGTTTTATTTCTGAAAATTATTTAAATTTAGAGAAAAGCCAATTCTTTTATCTGGACACATTATTGCATTATTCTGTATCTTAAAGCAAACTTCAGAAATTTTAACAAACTTTATTTTATTTCTCATAAATTATCAAAGGTAAAATAATTATTTTCATTTTTTTTCTAAATAGAATAGAATAGAATAGAATGTTTATTAACGTAATAGGCAATAGCCTGTTACAGTAATAGGCAATAGCCTGTTTTTTCTAAATATGAATTTATTAAATTTCCTAAATAAATTTTTTTTTGTAAATTTATTAAACAGAAGTTTAGAAATTTTTCTTGCTTATTATTAATTAAAGAATATAAAAGATTAATTCATAATTAATAAATATTCATAATCATGCTTTGTAACAATGTGGTGCAGAACAAAACTATGATGAAAATAAATGTTAAGCTATTTATTAATAATTTGTTATATTTATTAAAAGATTAAAATATTTGAATTTTAATACATGCTGCTTTATGATATTGAGCATATTGTAATAAAGCACTAATGATAAGCTTTAATTATTTATATTGTTTTTGATAAAAAAAATTTTAAAATAACAAATATTGAAACAATTAGATTTTTTTTTTTTAAATATTTATAATCTTGTTCTATCATGGTTTATAAAAATTACAAAAAATGTACACATTCATATAAGTATTTATTTTTTCAGAAAATTTAAAGCAAATGTAACATTGTATTGCTATATTTAATACATTATTTTCTTGGCTATTCAACCAAGAAAATAAACTTTATATCTAAAATTTTTGGATTAAGAAATATAATTTCATAGGATTCCAGAAATTATTATTGTAGTTTGCAAAGTAAGTAAAATTAGAAAAAAAATGTTATGATGATTATTTGTCAAAAGCTTCAGAGTAAAACAAATAATTATGATGAGAACTTTCAAATAAAGTAAAAGATAAAACCCATTTTGACTGTGCACACCTCATATGTAGCTCTTCCCAGCAACCTTTTCTCAGACATCTAGAATGAGTTGAAATTTATAAGGCTGCCCACTAAAATACTGCTATTAACTTTCATGATATAGGCACCTTCCCCACAGCATGGAAGTCTTTCTTCTAACTGTAAACTTATTTTCCTCACCCCTCTCACTCTCCTTCTTACTTACATTAGTCCCCTTTTTCACACATGTATGGCAGTTCCCCATTATTTCAGCAGCTGCAGGATTAGTTAGCCTGAGGATGCCTGTTCAATACATGTGAAAATATTAGCACTTCCCATTTTTTTCTGCTGGTTATTTGGTTTTTTTTGTAGCTTTGTATAAAACAAAATAATTATTGAGATATTTAAACAAAATGAAACTAATTAAAAAATAAACAAAATTTACTTAAATTCTGATAGAAAATAATTTTAAAATATAAAACTTGTTTTGAAGAAAGAAATTTGTTTATAGCAATTTAAGATTAAGTTTGCCATTTATTTAATCAATTATTTATTGATGAAGACTACAAAACAGATTTTCATTCCATTGATAAATAAATAAATTAATTTTAACATCTGTATATACTCATGTATATTCTTCATATTTGAATATATTTGAATAGTTATATTTCTGTTAATGATATATGTCACATCTAGTTTATAATTTTAGTTTTAATTGATGCCTATAATAATTTATTAAACTACAGAGGTCTATGCAACTTAATAAATTATTATTTGTAGTAATTAAACTCATAAACTAAAATGTAACCTTCAGGGCTTTCAAACCACACAGATCATTTCTTGCATGAATCTAACATCATAAATAAGAAATAATGATATATTTTTCAACTACATAATTATATAATCTTCCCACAAATATATTTAATAACCTCAAAAAATACATAGTCCATTTCAAATTATTTGGTTCATCTTCTCTTATAAAAATTCTGACATTTTTTACATTAGATTATTTTACATTATATTTTCATGAAATGTTTTTGCCACCCATAAATTGTTTACATGCACTCCAATATCCCAGTCAGTTTGAAAGAACAATGTTTGATAATTAATATAAGTTTAATTTTACAATATAATTTAATAAATTAAATTTAAAAAATAATTAATAAAAAACTGATGTAGAATTAATTAAACTTATTGAATATAGTAGTGAAATTACAGTATAAACTCAGTTTAATGTTTTTCAAAAAACCAATGAAAAAATATGTTAAATCACAAAATATGTAAAAGCCAAACTTTCTTAAAAACATGCTAGACTGTTTCAATGTTCAAATGCATATGTAAATGCATTTAGAATGGATAAAGTGAAGAAAAACATATATTTCCAGTATAAATGTGCATCCAAGATAATGTACAACAATCAGCAACTATAGACGTGTTTTACACAAAGATAGTAAAGCATTAAACAGTAGCAGATTACGTTCCTTTCAGGCCCTAGATGCAATTTTGTTATAAGATCTTTATATAAAATTGTTTTTTTTTATTAAAAAGTCAATAAAATCTTTAAATAATAAGTTATTTTAGAGATTTTTAAATGTTCAGTAAATTTTTTGAGTCGTAATGTTTTTCTGTGTAACCTTTGAGGTCTCTCAAAAAATCAAGGCCCTAGGAGCACCTATTGGGTAATCCATTAAAGTTCTCTTTTGAATGTGTCAAGGATACTTGTTTGTTTCCTGTTGAGGATTTTATGTGTCTTCATCACTCCAGTTTCAAAGTTTGAAACAAAGAAACACAGCTTCATCAATATCATCACCACTATTGTGTATTAAATACTTTCGTTTATGTTTTGTACTTGTTGTCATAATGTCTGTGTTTGTAATGCATATAAATACTGTATTTGGACCATAAAATCTGTAGTGAACTTCAAAAATTGATGTGACATCACTTTACTATATTTGCTATGCCAGTCTCTGAATCCAGCAATGGTTGCCAAGGTGCAAAAAAATAGAATGTATCTTCATGCTATCATAATGCAGCAAAATGATTTTGATAATTCATTGTACTTTTTTAATTCTTCTAACCATTGAACATGAAATACAGTACATTTCTGTTTTCTATAAACATTGGGTGAAAATTCATCTAGGGATCAAGTTTTTATGCATTAAAACCTAAAAATTTGCAAAATTAGAAAACACTAAATGCAACATTAACGATGTGGTTTATGAAGATTTGAAGAAAGTGGTGAAAAAATACATTAAATTAAGTTAAATTATAAAATGAAATCAAGTGTTAAGTGCAACATTTGTTTTCTTTCCACTGTTTCTAATGTAGAAACAAATATTATCGAAATGTATATAAAGTAGAGCGTCGTTTATCCGAATCAATTGGGGACTGGGGTTGTTCGGATAACTTGTTTTTCGGATAACCGATTATGTACGAAAAAATATATTAACNTCTAGGGATCAAGTTTTTATGCATTAAAACCTAAAAATTTGCAAAATTAGAAAACACTAAATGCAACATTAACGATGTGGTTTATGAAGATTTGAAGAAAGTGGTGAAAAAATACATTAAATTAAGTTAAATTATATAATAAAATGTAAGATTTTTAATAAAAGAAACTAATCTAAAAATATAAAATTTTAGAGATTTTTTTTATTGGAAAAGTCTTGTTACAAATAAGAATTTTTTAAATTAATATATGCTGTTCAAATTCATCTCTAGGTAATTTAAAGCATCATTTCCTTAGAACTGTTAGAATAATCAATAAACAGTAACCTGTAATGTAAAACCTTACTATCTTGATATTCACCCAGCTGATTTTTCAAAAAAATGAACATTTTCGGTCTTCTTCTAAGACCTGCTTCAGGTGAAAAATTTCAAACAGATGGAACTTCTAATGTCTTGATGATCTAATATTTTGAATGCAGAAGAGCTCACAGCTAAATTCAAATTTAAAATCTAGAATTGACCAATAGGATGCATCCAAGTGTAAACATCCTAAAACTGTTTTTCATAATGTATCAAAGAGGGCCTGCCATGCTTTTCAAATGCACCTCAGTAACCATTGATATATTCCATATTTTCAAAGATGATGATTGTCTGCTTTAATCATTTTTTATAATAAATCTAAAGGATTTAGAAAAATAGAAAAAATTCAAAAGTTTTTCTTCGATGAATACAAACATTTTTTTCTTTTCCAAAATATGTTTTGTATTAATTTGAATAGTAAAATATTATAAATTATTATTATTATTAGTTGTGCTTTAGTTAGAAATATCTTATAATATCTTAATTATCAATAGTTGCTTTTACTTTTTTAATATCTTAACACCATATGTATTTTTAATTAAAAATTTTATAGTTATTACATATATAGAATTTTTCATTTGAAACGTATTAAAGTTGTCTTTAAGTCTATAAGATACTCTCTATTATTTATAATTTTTGAATTGTTAGAATATTAAATGAAAATTTATATTAAAAAACTTCTTTTAAAAAAATTTAAAATTTAAATTTTTACTAATTAAATTGATCTTCTTGTCAATTGATAAAATTATAATCTATTGTTTGCTTAGTCTAAAAACCTTAACAGATTTTTTAAAACTCTTAAATCTAATTTCTATTGTAATAAAACAGAAATATTGTAATACAAAACGACTTCTAATAACATGACACTGAGTTGAGTAATAACAATCCATGAAATATTGTATCTACTTCACAGAGAGAGGTCTATATTTCAAGATAAATCCAATAAATTTAGGATTTCAATTACATGAACACACTGAATTATGGTAAAAGTTTAATTACATTAATTTTTTAACATTTGCTCTTCTGCCAGTTTAAATAGTTTGGCAAACTGCAAAAGAATTTTTATTTTTATTTTAGCTATCAGATTTCAAAGAGATTTTAAAAGAACCTGATTTATGTCTTCAGTCTAAACAGACAATAGACTGTAACTTTCACATACATAAAAACTTCTGATTGATTAAGCAAAATGTCAGACTCTTAAGATGTTAGTTCTTGTTTTCTAGGTTGTAGATTAAGATTTCAATTCAAGCATTGATGTTTGAATTATTGATATTTAAAAAAAAAAAATTTTATTTAACAAGTAATTGTGGCATTGCCATAAAAGAAAGACATTAAAAATTACATTAAAAAATAAGATTTAAAATTTTCAGTTTTAACTCAATTTTATTTTTTATCAAAAATATGATTTAATAATTTGAACTTAGCAGCTGGTTCATTTTTAGTGAAATATTTTTTTTTATTTTTGAAAATGTAAAATAAAAGATTAAAATACAATATAATGGAATTCTTATGAATTAATCATAAAGACTCCATTATGTTTATGTTTAAAATTTATAAATGTACAAATATTTCTAAAATTATTTTTTTATTTCATTATTTTTACATTGTTCAGTATATATTTCTATCATTATATTCTTTATTGTTTATCAATATATTATGTTTAAAAATACTTCATTTTATTTCTTTTTAAAATCTTAATGATTTTTAGTTAAAAAAAAATACTGTCTGATTTTGCATTCTATATTTTTTTTTTATTTTTATTAGAGAAAAATATCCGAAGAATTTGTACTTTTGTTCATTTTATTCCAGTAAGTAAATTTTATTTTTATTGTTCTTTCATTTCATTTCATTTGTTAAATAATTAAGTAATTTCTATTTTCACAAAGATTATTTCTTTAAAGATCAAAACCATTAAATAAATTTTTAATGTTTAATTTTAAGTAAAATAAATAAATTTTATTTGATTATTTATTTGTTACTCTAGTCAAATGTACAGAATGCATATTATGATGTTTAATGCTAATTTATAGCCGTTTGATTCTGTTGATATTTGATTCTGTTGTTTGAACATATATATATATAATCTTTAGATTGAAGTTTCATTTAAATATTACAATCAGTAAACTAACTACTTGAAAAAGGAGGTTTCTCTGATCAATCATCAATAGGACAAAATATTCTAATTTAATCTAAACAATTTCATGTTACAATTTCTCAACTTCATCTAAACAAAATCTTCAAACTGTAAATTAAAATAAAAGCAACTGTCATATTTAATTACAGATATGTAATTTCAATTTCAGTTTTGTATTAAACTATATGGACTACTTATGTTGGTGGGTTACATAAAATCAAAATTTTAAGTCAAAATTACAATAAAGCCTGCTAATGTAATTTGTAATTGTAATTGAAGGGACCAGCTCAAAGTGGTCATCTTACACAGGTGATCATATTAGCAGGTTTCACTGTACATCAAAGTACACAAAGCAGTGTTGAGTAATTCATCAATCAAAATTACATTTTAAATCTTCTGTTAAACAATAAATAAACAAAGAAAAATAAATTTTTAAATTAACATAATTGCTTGAATATATATATTTTATAAAATTAGTATATAGATGAATCAATTTTACTGATAATTTAGTATAAGATAAGATTTTATTAGTTAGATTAACAGAATTAACTTATAACATTTTTCCCTTTGAAATTAACAATTTTTACAAAAAAGAATTAAATATACCAGTGAATTCTCTGATCCATCACAAACAATATCATTTTAGTCTAAAAACAAAACTATTTGATTCTTAAATCTAAACTGAAGCTTATTTAAGTGTAGTTGAAGTAATAAGGAAAGTAAGTAATGTTTAACTTATAAATGTTATAGTAAGTCTTTTCATTTATCATAGCAATATCCTTGTACCAATTGTGAAAACTAGATTTCTCTCTAAGGACAACAAGTCAGGATTTACACATTTGAATTTCCATGTTTTTACAATACTCCTAAGATAGTGATCAAAATTATCAGTAGACTGAAAAATTAGCTGAGGAGACAAACCAGTCCCTTCCAAAATGTATCATATTGTTTATCCTACAGATAAGTAATTAATGAAAATTATTGGTTAAAAATATTTTAAATCTATTAATTTCTCAAACAAAACAGAAAATTTTCTTTAACTCTAGATAAAAAGTAACATTTTAAATATTTTATTAATTTTATTATTTTCATTGATAAACTTACTGTTTGTATATTATGATAAAAATATTTTGAATGTTATTTATAAAATAATCAGATGAATGATTTAACTATTAAGTTAAACTATTTACCTAAATTATCTGTGCATTCAATTTAGATAAAAAAGTTAAACAATCCTAAAAGCATATGGCACATCAAAGCTCTCAGTAAAGAATTAGTCAATACATTTATCCTAAATCTAAATTAATATTTAACAAATAAATTCTTCGTTATTAATATTTTGATTTGTTTTTTCGAATAGAATGAAAATTATTTGCAGTAATTTATACCTTGCATATTTATGTTGGCTGATTGATAAGTAAAGTCTCCTACAATAGCATTCCATGAAGTTTCAGGATGGAAACATATGCCCACAATCATTTAGTAACTATGTGTGTCTAATCTGTATGTTTGCAGTTTAAGTTCATTATGTTGAATCATTTTATAATAGTCAAGTTTAAACATAAATAAATAGTGGTCTTCTTCATTCTTTACAAAAATATCAATTATTAATTGAATTTTTTAGCAATGAAAGATTATACACTGATTGAAATTCACAGACATTTGTGAGTTGTATACATACGGCAATGTTTATATGGATAAGATGTAGTTCTACAACCAAGAATAAATCATTGATGAGGGGATTTAGATGATTTATTCTTCAGCTTGTCCCCTCAATGATTTAGATGAGGAGACAAGCTGAAAAAATTGTGTAGGCCTATAAATAGACATGGTATTAGTAGGACTGCCTACATTCAACTTTATTATTTTAAATTTTTTATTTTTTAAGCTTGATGTGGATGATTATTATTAATTTAATCTGTTAAAAATAGTTTTACTGTATAATAGGTATCTGATAATGCAAGGGACAAGGGTTGAACACACAAGAAAACATGGACAGTATGATTAGAGTGTCATGCTGCAGCTGAAGACAATTTGTGGTATTGACATCTTGGTCACTTACACAAAGAGATGCGCTGTGACAGCTTGAATTCAGTTTCAAATTGAAGGAAAGGCTTTTTGAGTCCCTTTCTATCATAATGAAAGACACTCTGCTGCCATAGGTGATCTTATATATAGTGATATGTGTGGACCAATTATGCCATCTGCAATTAGTGGTAAAAAGTATCTTCAGGTAATCTTAGATGACTTTCACATTTTGTCATTGTTAAATTGTAAAGAACAAGAGTGAAGCAAAAGATAACTTGATATATTATATTCAAGAAATTAAAGCTTAACATGGTCTTACTGAGGAAAGACTGTGATTAGATATTGGTGGCAAATTTGGTTCAAATAGTTTTAAAGGATTTGCAAAACAATGGTATACTATTGGAATGCACTAAGAGTTACAGTCCACAGATGGGAGGAAAGGCTGAATGCATGAATAAGACTATATTAAACATGACTCATACAAATCTCATTGACTGAGAAATCCCAAAGGAGTTATGGGGAGAGGCATTAAAGAGCTCAGCCTAGAAACTAAATAGATATCTAACAAGGACTATTCAGAGAAAGAAAACGCCATCATTTTGTGGCATGGATGGAATGCTCTCAGCAAGCTGAAAGTATTTGGATATCGAGCATGGTTCAATATCCTACCAAAACAAACTATAGAAGCAAGAACAAAATGTGCAGTTATTATGGGATATTGTAGTAGTGGCTACAGGTTGTGGATCCCAGCTGAAGAAACGATAGTAAAATCATGAGATGTATGTTTTAATGAAAGCTGTATGGAGTATATAGGAAACAAAAGAGCCAAATCAAAACAAATAGAAGAGGGAGTTGTATCCCCAACTATATTACACCCAGTATTGAAGAAGAAGAGCAAGATGATGATGGAAGAATACTAGGAAACAATAACAACAGTGAGCTAAAAGATGAAAGAGAAGACAAAAGGGAAAATTCTAACTTTAGAATTTTCCCTTTTTGTTGATGATAAACAATATGCAGTATACAATTCAAAATCATTTAAATGGAAAAGTTTCTTAATGACAAAAGGGAAAATTCTAACTTTAGAATTTTCCCTTTTGTCATTAAGAAACTTTTCCATTNTACTGTGCTCCTCTCAACTGTCAGGAGCATTAAACCTTCTTATGCTCTGTTTACCATACTCTACCATGTTCTGTAGCAAAGAAGGAATGTGCTGTTCTGCTGTTTTTTCTGTATTTTGTTCATTTATTAAAAACAGTTTTTAGTTGAAGCAATGTACCATTGTACATTCTTGTTTCACTTTTAACATTATTAATATTTATAGGCATTTTTTTCATATATACGAAAGAAATATATATATATATGTAAGCATTAATAATATAAGAAATGTAAGTATTAATGATCTGTTAAATTCTTATTTGTATTATTATATTTTAAATTAGAAAGTGCTTAATTTTTAGATATGAATTATAGTAGGAAATCTTATTTTTTTTAAGTCAAAAGTATTTATAAGATGATTGATCTAATCATATTATAAATATTATGTGTAATGAAAAATATTACATATTTGAATGATGTTATCTTACATATTGCAATCATAGCTTAAATATGCTTCTTTGCACATCTGTTGAATGCCTTTTGGTATATATCATAGTTGATGTAATTTTCATGACCACTGCTGTAATCTGTTCAGAATGTTTGAATACTTTTATATAGATTTTTCCATATAAGAGATTAGCTTTACTGTATGTAAATGGAAAAGGTTTAATCAATGTTATTTAATTGAAATAGAACTAATTACTTAAACCGTCTCTAAAATGATGTATATTAGAACTTTAATAAATGTTATACAGTTTAGATCATCTGTCTGAAGTGCTTATGATTTCATTTCAAAATAACTATATTTCTATAAAATTACAATCACTATAAGCAATGATATATTACATCGTGTTTTGCAAAGTGACAATTTTTCTAAACCAAAAAATGCTTGTTATATACAAGTTATGTTATAACAAGTCTGTTAGGATAATGATATAGAATATACAAATAATTTAAATTAGATAATACAATACTTTAAACATATTTCCTGAATTATAGAGTTTTTATTTACTTAAGATTTTCAAAAGTCACTTCAACCTAGTTTTCATTAATTGTAAAACAGTTCTACTGTCTACTGTTTCATCTGATTTAACAAAAAAATCAAATTTTTCCTTTATATATTTTAAATAAATTAAACAACTAAAATCTATCTTTATGTTGTTTTATTTAAATATATATAAAATATTGTAATTCAAATTATACAGTTTTAATTCATTTGTAAATATCATCATAATTAGTTTTTGGCATAATTGTTTTTTATTTATTTATATTTTTATAAAATTGTTTTAAGTGATAATTTTCTAGTTGTGTCAGAAAGTAATTATATAAAAATTCTTTACCTTTACATAATAGAAAAGATTGTTTTTCTCAAGATAATAATATGGTCCATACAGGATATATATTATACTCAATAGACTTTGCAAAATTAATTTCATACTCTCTTGAGCCATGCAATTAGTGATTAGTCATAGATATTTTTATATTGTGTATTTATACTTTTTGACACAATACAGGTGTTATTTCTGTATATTAATTTTTTTTATTTTATCCCACAAATAAAATATTTCCCTAAATGATAAATTATTAAAAATTTTCTTTTATATTTTACATCTCATTCTTTGTTTTGTGCTTACTCGTTTTATTAATAGTAAATTTGCTTTATTTAATAATAACGCCTTTAGGAGACATATGACAGATGCACAACTGACACAATGTATTCTCTAGTGATTTTAGATTACATATCCAGTTCCATATCAAATCAATTACTGCATTTTAATTTAATGTTATTGTTCTTTTCTGAAGTAGGTCATTCAAGTGACAGTGAAAAGCATGAAGAATTAATATCCTTGTTTACTGTATATATGGATATTTGCACATATTTTTCTTAAATAAATTATATTTTAAATTAGAAAGTGCTTAATTTTTAGATATGAATTATAGTAGGAAATCTTATTTTTTTTAAGTCAAAAGTATTTATAAGATGATTGATCTAATCATATTATAAATATTATGTGTAATGAAAAATATTACATATTTGAATGATGTTATCTTACATATTGCAATCATAGCTTAAATATGCTTCTTTGCACATCTGTTGAATGCCTTTTGGTATATATCATAGTTGATGTAATTTTCATGACCACTGCTGTAATCTGTTCAGAATGTTTGAATACTTTTATATAGATTTTTCCATATAAGAGATTAGCTTTACTGTATGTAAATGGAAAAGGTTTAATCAATGTTATTTAATTGAAATAGAACTAATTACTTAAACCGTCTCTAAAATGATGTATATTAGAACTTTAATAAATGTTATACAGTTTAGATCATCTGTCTGAAGTGCTTATGATTTCATTTCAAAATAACTATATTTCTATAAAATTACAATCACTATAAGCAATGATATATTACATCGTGTTTTGCAAAGTGACAATTTTTCTAAACCAAAAAATGCTTGTTATATACAAGTTATGTTATAACAAGTCTGTTAGGATAATGATATAGAATATACAAATAATTTAAATTAGATAATACAATACTTTAAACATATTTCCTGAATTATAGAGTTTTTATTTACTTAAGATTTTCAAAAGTCACTTCAACCTAGTTTTCATTAATTGTAAAACAGTTCTACTGTCTACTGTTTCATCTGATTTAACAAAAAAATCAAATTTTTCCTTTATATATTTTAAATAAATTAAACAACTAAAATCTATCTTTATGTTGTTTTATTTAAATATATATAAAATATTGTAATTCAAATTATACTGTTTAGTGGCAAGAGGATTCCAAGTACCTTATGAAGAAGGAGAATTTTGCTGAGCCAGTCTGTAGAACATCTACAATTAGAATTTTACTTTCTGTGGCAGTACAGCATAACTGGAAGCTACATCCGTTTAGACTCACAACTGCCTTTCTAAATGAATATCTAGAAAAAGATGTATACATCAATACACCAGAAGGGTTTAAATGTCAAAAAGGACATTGAAATTGAATAGAGTATTGTATGGCTTGAGAAATGCACCAAAATGTTGAAATGGCAAGTTTAATGAAGTAATGGAAAATTTAGATTTTAAGTCAAAATATGACTTCTGTTTGTATGTAGGTAATGGTGCCTACTTGACTATTTTTATTGACAATGTGATTGTCACAGTTTGAAGATGCAGAGATTGACAAATTAATGAATGATCTGCACAAAGAGTTCAATGTCAGAGATTTGGGAGAAGTCTCACCATTCTTAGGAATAAAGTTTGATCAGGATGAAAAGGAATTAAAAATCAGTCAGTCCAAAATAATTACCCATATCTTAACTGAATTTAATATGGAACAGTGTTGTGAAGTTGCCACACCTACGAAAATGAAATTTCATTTAGCAGAATCCAATTTGATGAAGAAAATCCATTTTGCAGATTGATGTGCAATCTGATGTACTGTACATTTCTGTTACAAGCAGGCCAGATATTGTGTATAGTGTGTTGTCTTAGTTGATATCTAGACAGACCAACAGATCAGTTGTGGAAGACAGGTGAAAGAATTCTTCGATATTTAAGTTGCACGAGATATCTTACATTTCGTTTTATGAAAGGTTTAGATGATCTAGTAGGCATGAGTGATGCTGAGTGGGGAGGAGAGGAAGAGATACAAAAACTAGGAAAAGTGTGAGTGGAATGATTGGTTTTCATGCTGGAAATCCAATTGCATAGTACTCCAGAAAACAAAACTGCATGGCTCTTTCATTCATGAAGGCTGAATATATTTCAGCTACCATTGCAGATCAAGAATTAATGAATTTAAAAAGTATTTTATCCAAATTTGGTGAGTGTAATATTGTAATCCTCAAAATTGACAACATAAGTATGGTTTCTACGATGAAAACGTTTGAGAATTCAAAGAGAGGTAAGTGTATTGATATAAGATATCACTACATCAAAGACCTGTGTAGAAACAAGGAAATTTCAATTGAACATACCAACTCAAATGGAAATATTGCTAACATTTTTATGAAAGCTTTGGGAAAAGAGAAGTTTGATGTTATGTGACTGGCTGGATATAGTGTAAATGTATAGAAAGTCCTTACATATTAAGTACTATTAATGTTTGAAATGTAGGATTACATTTTGACATTTCAAGAGACATTGAAATGAGGGGGTGTGTCAAGGAATGTGAATATCATACTGTGCTCCTCTCAACTGTCAGGAGCATTAAACCTTCTTATGCTCTGTTTACCATACTCTACCATGTTCTGTAGCAAAGAAGGAATGTGCTGTTCTGCTGTTTTTTCTGTATTTTGTTCATTTATTAAAAACAGTTTTTAGTTGAAGCAATGTACCATTGTACATTCTTGTTTCACTTTTAACATTATTAATATTTATAGGCATTTTTTTCATATATACGAAAGAAATATATATATATATGTAAGCATTAATAATATAAGAAATGTAAGTATTAATGATCTGTTAAATTCTTATTTGTATTATTATATTTTAAATTAGAAAGTGCTTAATTTTTAGATATGAATTATAGTAGGAAATCTTATTTTTTTTAAGTCAAAAGTATTTATAAGATGATTGATCTAATCATATTATAAATATTATGTGTAATGAAAAATATTACATATTTGAATGATGTTATCTTACNATTAATAATAAATAAAAATTTCTAATATATCATCTTGAAATGATGATTATTTTATTATCATCAATTATTTATCTGTAATTTTTTATTTTAAATTCCAATTTAAAACTTCATTGAAGTTTATTTATAAAAAAATTTACCAAAATTTTTTTTAATTAATCAGCAATCATAATTTAAAATTCTATATAAACTAAGTTTGCATAGGATTACTAATCTTATATGGTTAGCTTGGCTCATATTGGGAATTCAGATGGAACATTGACGTCTAATTAAAAATTTTT